TTCTTTGACTGTGATGAAAACATGCGAAACAGGAAAATAGAAGCTTAGTTTCATTGCAAATTAAGGCAGGAAGCGGAGGGCGGTAATGGGAATTTGGAGGAGGCAGGACAGGAGCCCCTTTTTTTCAAGCATTCTCCCCCAAAGTCAAAGTGATCGAGTATTGGCAATAATTGGAGATCGAAGAATTGGGGCTTCATCCCTATTGAAAAGGTTGCTGCCCTGAGCTTATGCAGAATACATTTACAGAAGTTGAGGGTGCTTCAACAGTGGAGATTTTTAAAAAGAGATTGGACAACCATTTGTCTGAAATAATAATATAAGGTCTCCTGCTTGAGCAGGGGGTTGGACTAGAAGACCTCCAAGGTCCCTTCCGACTCTGGTATTCTGTTATTTTATAATCTCAGATCAACTAATGAAAGGAATATCTGTCTTCCAGATGTTTTGGAGGCTCCATCACTGGAAGTTTTTAAGAAGAGATTGGACAATCATCTGTCTGGAATGGTATAAGGTCTGCCTGAGCATGGGGCTAAGCTAAAAGTCCTCCAAGACCCCTTCCAACTCTGTTATTCTGAACATCTGTGGGTTGTAACCTCACCTTTGCAAGGGTGACGTGGGTCTTTTCAGAAAGGCTGTGGACAGGTGGAATTGGGTTAAAAATCGGATGTCCAAAAGGCAAGAGAAGGGATGACTTCCTACCTTTGGTTGGCATCATTGGAAGGTCCTCCTCAGCATCCTTTGTCTGGTGTTCGAACATTTTCCCTCCTCTCTCTCTCTTCTGCTCCGCCTGGACTCGCACACCTGACATTCTCCAGGTTGCTTGCGGGTGATTTATATAACCCGGGAGAGCCACGGCGAGTCTTGCCCCAGAAGGCGTGGTCTCCGGAAGGAACTCAGAGAAAGAAAGAGCTGATTCCTGAAACCCCAGAGGGCCAAACAACCCTCCCTCCCTCCCTCCTTCCCTCCATCTCCCACCAGAGAAGCTCTGCCAGCCGATTCCACACCCTGTGGGGCTGTTCAGAGCCCGAGGCCCCACGACATCTGCTTCGACTTCTTCTCCCAGCCTTTTAATTACTCCTGATCTTATCTGATTTTTATCTGAAGCCCCATCACCTCTTCTGGTTTTCTGGCTTCTCCAAGTTCATTGTGAAAATCCAGATTCAAAGGGTGAATGCAATTCGGGGCGCATTGAGAATGGCAACATGTTAAACCAGTGCAAAAGATACCCCTGCTGAAACATGCTGGGTTGTGCATGCGAGTTCTGACACCCCCATTGTGTCCTTGAATCCAGATGTTCACAAACGTGTTAAATCTGCAGGTGGATTTGGTCTGTGCGGCCCACCCTCAGTTGGAGACAGAAAATTGATTTTGGGCTTTAATTTCTCCACTCCACCTTCCCTTTTACCAGCAACCCAACAGCAGAAACCACAACTCCAGTGAAACATCTGTCCAGGCAGATGTGAATGTGTGTTTAATATTTTTCATAAGAGGTTCAGGTGACGCGCACTGAGATTTGAAAGGTTCAATCGAATAGAGAGATTCGGAGAGTTTCCTGAAAGGAATGGAGGCCTTGCCCCTTGGAGTAAAGCAAAGGTTTCTGAATTGCTTTGCGGTTTCGAGAACCTAGAATTGGAGTCGTCAGCAAGTTTCTTTTTTTCCAAGCCCCAGGAAAGCTCAGAATTTGGTTCCAGCAAACATGGTGGGTCAAGCCTCATCCCAGATATTTAATCACCTCCCATCTTATCACTACATTTTGAAATAATACCACTTTACGTTTTCCGTGGATAAGGAGACGAAACTTGCTGTTCTAGAAAGTCAAGTCAGAAAAGCACCGTGAGGGCATGAAACTGAGAAAATTGGAGTTTTGCCTCGTGGCTCAGCTTCTTTTCAGGAGCTCAGCGTTTTCATTCGGTATCTTCGTTCGCCACAATCGTGGATTATTAGCTCCATTCTGGCTAGGATCACCTCTGCCTCCAGTCTGTGCTGCTTGGGATTACAGCAATCGATGTTACCCGATTGAGTATCTCTGCGCCAACTAAAATGAAAAAAATATCCTGCAACGTCGAAATTTAAACTAGAGTGGATGCAACCATTTGCATGATAGCCAGTCTTCTGTGTGTGTTGGGATGATGTTTTATTCAGTTCATACGTTAACAAAAGAGCCCACCATCATTAGACTTAGGCTTCAGAATGTAACCCAGTACCTTAACTGTCGTACTAAATTTATCTCCTCAGCTTTCTTTGGGAGCTCTTCTACCACCCGATGTTGACTTTCAGCCGGTGAAGAGATGACCCTCTCTAACCTAAAAATACACTTCGATGGGAAGGAAAGTTTGTCAAAAGAAACTTTCTGGTTTTGATGGCTGGTCACTTGGATTGGAATAACCCAGGGGTGAAATCCAGCAGGTTCTGACAAGTTCTGGAGAACAAGTAGTGGAAATTTTGAGTAGTTCAGAGAACCGGCAAATACCACCTCTGGCTGGCCCCAGAGTGGGGTGGGAATGGAGATTTTGCAGTATCCTTCCCCTGGAGTAGGGTGGGAATGGGGATTTTGCAGTATCCTTCCCCTGCCACGCCCACCAAGCCACGCCCATCAAGTCACACCACGTCCACCAAGCCACACCCACAGAACCAGTAGTAAAAAAAATTGGATTTCACTACTGAAACAATCACAGTTAATTGGAGCACAGCTGGCAAAAGCAGACCAATGTCTCGGCGCAATTCCGGTGGATTGAAATTTAGGCTCCTTATCTGTGGGAATGCAGATTTTTTGGACCTTATCTTTGGACCCCAGACCCAGTTTCAAACTGCGTTTGTTAAGCAGATGCTGCCATCCTTTCAGAGAACAAAAGAGGTGGACATCTTGTGCAAAGAGATTGGTAAAATAGGTCCGAGAGAGAAGAGAGAACGATAAAACTATGGAATATCGCATCCAGTTCTGGTCACCACAATATAAAAGAAAGAGGTTGAGACTCTGGAAAGAGTGCAGAGAAGGGCAAGAAAAATGATTACGGGGCTGGAGGCTAAAACATACAGAGAACGGTTACAGGAATTGGGTCTGTCTAATAGGAAAAGAAGGACTAGGGGAGACCTGATAGCAGTGTTCCAATATTTGAGGGGCTCCTACAAAGACGAGGGGGTCAAACTATTCTCCAAAGCACCAAAAGGCAAAAGGAAACTAACCAAGGAGAGATGCAACCTAGAAGTAAGGACAACTTTCTTGACAGTGAGAACAACTCATCAGTGGAACGGCTTCTGTCCATCACTGGAGGCTTTCAAGAAGAAACTGGACCATTGTTTATCTGAAATGGTATAGACTCTCCTGCTTGAGCAGGGGGTTGGACTAGAAGACCTCCAAGGTCCCTTCCAATTCTATTATTCTATTCTAAACTTTGTCTTGCTAGTTCAGATCCTTTCCAGCTTGAGATAGGCAATTGATCCTCCAGCCTGCATCTCGTTTGTTGATTCATCTAATCCCTCTGAAAAGCCCAACTCCTCTGGAGTCATGTCAATCACGCATGAATTATGCCTGCTAAGCTCTTCCTGATGCTGAGCGCCAGTCAATTGGTGTTCTTTGATGACTCCGCTCTAGGAATTTCAGAAGTTATTAACTGGGTCTTACCTCCTCCCATCTTCCCTCTTTCAATCTCTTTCGTTCAGCTCTCCCTTCTTAGCCAGAAGTTTCACAACTTTTAAAACTTTCTTGCCTCCTCCTGCTTTCCGTAAGATTTTACCCATCTGCCCTCCCTTCCATTTTTGGGGGATTTGATTCATTCATGAGAACTTCAGGTAGCATCGTCCCGAATCCGGGAGAAAGGCATCTGATCCCCTGCATTTCCACAGCGGACAAGGGGGGTTACTCTTAAGTCAGAGACCACTAAATTCATAATTTTAAATCCTGAGGACCACTAATATGATCTACCTAATGACCGGCTGGGTGGGCGTGGTTAGGTGGTCATGTTACTGGTTGGGCATGGCCAACTCGATGTCACTCATGTCGAGGGATGCCTTGCCGACTTATATTTGTCCCTCCCCTCCCAGCCACTCCTCGCCTGCCCGCCTGGGCTCCTTAGGGCCCCAACAGGAAGCAGTTGTTGGAGCTAAGCAGTCACTATGAGAAAAGTTGGCAAAACAGCTGCCTCCATTCAAATTGGATCTGGCCGAGAAGGAGGCTCAGCAGAAGTACCTCACTGAGGATTACGAGCATAGGCTTTCCAAGCAGAGGGAAGATCTGGCCAGGTACCAGGAGGCTGAAGCAGACCCTGAGTAGGAATTTCTGTCCCCCTTCAACCCACACAAAAAGACCCCGAGTGGGGAGACTCTGCAGCAACACAAATGTTCGTTGCATGTATCCAGCCCAGGGGCCCTAGTTTGAGGACCCCTGGTTTAGTGCAATATAAAAAATGCAAATAATTTTTCTGAGGACTACCAAAATTTTCTCACGGACCACCAGTGGTCCACAGACCACCAGTTGGTGACCACTGGTCTAGGTGATCTCCAAAGCCCTTTCGCCAACCTTCACGTTCTACGGACTTGGACCGTTGGAAGTTTGATTCAGGTTCCATGGAGGAAGTCCAACCAGACGACGGTTGTTGGGTGTGATACTTTTTAACACAAAAGGCAGTCTCGCACAATCCAGAGTTCCGACTGTTTATCAAATAAAGGCTTATTAAGCTACTGAAAGTGGAACCAAACCGGATTTCTATGAAGGGCTCGAAGGGCAATTACTGCTTCTTTGGCTTTGTGTTTTCTTCTCCGTAGATTAAAGGGCTAGATATTTCAGAGCTGAGAACGAAAGTGTGAACACTGCCGGGAGCCCCGGAGCTCTGGGCTACAGACATTCAGGTTTCAGCCTCATACATTTCATAAGAAATGCTCCTTTGCCACCTGCCCTTAATGTTATGACCGAAGGGGCAGCCGCTGAGGGCTCGTGATGGCGGGTGGCTCTTAGTGATTAGCCCACAGTCAGATTGGAGAGAAGAAATCTGCATAGGTGAGAAACCTTTTAGTCTTGAAAAATTATTTATTTTTTTTAAAAGAACAGTGAGTAGCAAAGATAAAGAAATATATTAGTCTATTTCTGAAGCATCATCATCATCATTATTATTATTATTTATTGAATTTCTATACCGCCCTTCTCCCGAAGGACTCAGGGCGGTGAACAGAATAAGATTTCATATACATATAATTTTTTTTTTATCATGCTAGAGGTAATGCTAAGACGTTCCAAGAATGGCTCTGTTGCTTATTAAATCACAAACAACCCTGTATTCCATGATTTCTGAATCAAGATTTGATATTTGCCAAAAAAAACACCGGATGAGTTTGTATTATTCCAAATACAGCTAATCCTTGACTTACAACCATTTGTTAAATGATCGTTCAAAATTACAACAGCGCTGAAAAGAGACTTATGACTGATCCTCGCACTTATGACCGTTGTAGTAGACCCACAGTCACATGATCAAAATTTGGGCACTGGGCAACCAGCATGAAATTACGACGGTCGCAGCCTCCTGGGCAGGGGTGAAATGTAAAATTTGTTACTACCGGTTCTGTGGTGTGGCTTGGTGGTGGTGGGGTAATGTGACTGGGTGGGCGTGGCCAACTTTTTTTTAAAAAAAACTTTTCAAAGCATTTTTTCTAATGCTTTGAAAAGCCTCTGCCGATCAGGCAACTCAGCTGGGATCGTCAGAGACTTTTCAAAGCATTTTTTTTACCACCTCTTCGGCCAAGATCATTTGCTTTGTTCTTGAGGGACGCCTCAGCTACAGGAGTCTCAAAATAGAAAAACCTGGGTTTTCTGCTCCCGTGCCTGCCTTCCCTGAGAAAATTGTGGGGACAATTATTGCCTAAAATATTTCCTTCTGGGTAAAAACGTGCATTTCCCTGGTTACGCAATTGCGAAAGCGGGGCGAAACTGGAAACATGGAGATGTTTAAAATCTTGTATCAAAAATCCTGGGGTTGAGACCTGGTCACAGCAAAGAGGATGCAGTGGGTGTGAGCGACCTCTTGTGGCAGAACAAGGAATATCCCATCCAGAGGGAACCGCACACACAAGCAGGTGAGGAAGAAGTAGCATCTCAAGGAAAAAAACTTTTGCTAGCACAACAGACAGCTTGAAGCCGGGGAGATAGTTAGATCCAGATATCAGAGGTGGTGTCGCCGCCCGGATAGCGGATCTCGTGGGCCAGCGCTGGCCCATGTGGCTCTTTCCCGAAATCCACTAAGAACTTTTCGTTCACTTTCAAGCCTCCTTTCTTGCTGTCCACATCGATTTGCAACATGACAGAGCCTTCCCTGGGGAGGGGGAAAAAAGAAGATAAAACAGAATTTTACCATGCATTTCTGAGGACAATTACAGTTATGAAACTCGAAAATGGACAGATTCTGCCAATCTGGAAGTCGACGCTGCAGACGCACAAGCTAAAGTCCCTAGGCTGAAAGAAGAAATGCCTTTTACGTTTATTTAAAGTGTCATTTTAAATTCCACACAAACGGCAAATTCTAGCAACCATCAAAAACTGCACCACGCAACTTCCAGGTTTATTTCTGCTTGCGGATCTTCCAAGGAACTTGTCTCAAGACCCAGCTTTGTTTCTCTTTTTTAATAAACAAAGGAAAAAAGCGAAGGAAAGGCCGTCTTACTTGACCATGTCTGGGTAGAACTGCTTATCCCATCCGCTGTAGAGAGAGGTGCTGACATACAGCCGTTTTCCATCCAGGCTCAGCTGGATCATCTGGGGGGCACCTTGAACTCTCTTGCCCTGCGAAGGACGAGAAAACGGGTGTGACCTAACTTGGGACCCAAGAGGCAGAGAAGGCTTTGAGCCAGAATTCCCCATTCACACTGGAAGCTGAAGTCCACAAGCCTTAAAGTTGCCAAGTTTGGACACCCCTGGACTAGGAGACCTCCGAGGTCCCTTCCCACCTGATTGGAAGTTCTGTGTTCTACAAAGATGGTTTGGCTGTGAAATTTCCTGCAAAAATTTCTGAACATCCCTTGCACTGTTGTGAAAATGAAATGGAGGGAGACAGAAAGGTTCTCTGGAAGGCAGTTAAGACAGTGACCTAACAAAGAAAAAATGTAACAATAATCCTGGGGTGGGGAGGACCCACCTTGATGATGAATGGATCTGGCTGGCAGTCCAGTTCTGGGTCATCAATCACTTTGACGGGACCTCCTTTGACAATGCTGCCTCCCAGAAACACCTGCATGGGCGGAGACACGGCTGGGTGAGGATGTCCCACATCACCTGCAGAGTCAGCGATTCCCGGCAGCCATGCACCCCTCCCCTGCCCCGGGGTCTACCTGTCCCACCAACTTGGGCTTCCGACGGTTGGAAATGTCGTATTGACGGATATCTCCATGAAGCCAGTTGCTGAAGTACAGGAAGCGGTCATCCAGGGAGATCAGGATATCGGTGATCAGGCCTACAGGAGAGCTTCGTGTTAACAGGAAGGCAGCAAGTCCCAGGAGGAACCAATGTTGCCCCCAAATTCCCAGCTGGGCCAGGAGCAGATTTGCACGTATCCAACAGAAATATTGACTCATTGAGTAAAGACCACCTAGTTGGTTGCGTATAAAGTTGCATTGAAAGTCAAGGCTGAGACGTTTACAGCCTGTACGCAATAAGTCAATATTTCTTCTGGAGCCACCACTACAAAATCCATGTCATGTAATGAATATAGAACCTTGCTAAGGTCACGGCTTTCCCTGAATCCTCTAATAAACGATCAAAGGAGTAAATTAAAGAATGGGAACCCCTCCTGTCTTGGAGATGAGATGTTGAAAATTTATATCTAGTTAAGAGTTCGAATTTAGTTCCAAAGCAAGACTTTTAAAGTTGTTATTGGTGGAGGAATGCAACTTGGATCGATTACGAAAATATAAAGCTCGTTGGACTAGCCTGGCATTTCTGGGAGAAGCCATCCTTCGACCTTCTTGTTGGGAATTTGAATCACCTTCTCTGCTGCCCAAGTTCCCTCCTGAAGGAGGAAAAAAAAACAGTCAGAAGGGGAGGAGTTACCCTTGGTGTAGCTCAACCCACAGAGACACCTATGCCTTCAAGTCTGGTTAGTTAACAGTTCTGTTTTAGAGCATGCCTAGGAACCACTTGCAAAGGGACAGGTTACAGATAATTATTTACTCGTTATATTTATTAATTACAACTCTCTTGCAACTCCGGGCACTGCACGCCAGAGCAGAAACTAAGTGAAGAGGCATATTTATCTGATTTCTTTTACATGATTTGCCAGTCGACATTTGGTGACGCAAGGAAGGACTGGAAGGGGTGAATTTGTGGCTGGGTGGCACGCCTTGGCAATCCGTGACTCAGGAACTCCTACTGGCGATATGATGGAATTTGGGTGGCTCAGTTGTGGCACCAACGTGACCTTGGCTGACCTCAGGGAGATCAGACCTGTTGAAACTTGGATGAGGTACCATCCCAAAATCCTAAGGCTAGAGGCCAAAATGGAGAATTAAAAAAAATAAAAAGGCATGTTGCTAAGAAGCTCCTTGGACATCTTTGGAAATAATTGCCCCAAAGCAGATGTTAGTTAGCTAGGTAGCATTTTGAGGTCGCCTTTCTGCATTCTGAAGTGCAAAGGAAAACCCTCCAAAAATACAAAAATTGAAAAAAAAATGGGCCTGGCCCGTTTAGCAGCCAGTAGTTCTCAGGACCCTAAAAATTCCAGTGGGCCTACCACACCCTCGAAGGCTCTGGGGCGTTGGCTGTGTGCCTGTGCTCAATTGTGGGCTTTTCCCAGAGACTGTTCTTCGCTTTATTTTGCTGTAATTATTCCTTTTTGTTGTTGTTGTTGTTTGTTTTACCGGGGTCTTGTAGAAACGGTGGACAGCGCTGCTGAGGGCACAGCCGATGTACCCCTCGGCTGCATCCGGGTCGTGGAGAAATCGGATCTCTAGCGGAATGGAGTTCTTGCCCACGTCGATTGTCTGGATAAATTCATGAGTGGTCCAATCCCACACATTGATGTTTCCACCATAGCAGCCTTTGGAAGCAGGTGTGAGAGAAGCAAGGAAGATTATTTTGAGAAAGGAGGGAGAGCAGGGTTTGGTTAGTAGTATGTTTTCTTTTCAGGGGTCCTTGGTGCTCTCTGAGCTTGGTTGTTTTCCTGCAGACGGTTCATGACCCAGCTAGGAAACATAATTGGTGCTAGAAGGAGCGTTTGTAGCAAAGCCCTGATGATGTTACCTAGTTGGGTCGTGAAACATCTGCAAGAAAACAACCAACACAAAATTTCCTCTGGATCTCATACAGATGTGAATTGGACCTCACCACTAAAGAGCTAATGACTTAATCCAATTTATTGAGAAATTGGCCTCCTCCCTTCGGTAGCTCCTGGCTGTCGTGTGACCCATCTTTGCCTACAAGGCCCCATCAAGGCTCCTCCTCTAATTAACTCCTCATTGGTGGGAAGAGATGCTGTCTTGACTCTCATTGGCCCTCAGACCTCAATTCCTGTCTAGCTTCGACTCTTTCTTCTCCAATCCTTAATTCTGGACCTCAATCCCATCTTCTGGACCATGGAAGATGCTTCCAACCAGGTTCTCCTTGACCCAACAGCCTGGTTGGCTTTGGATCTGAGGATACCCGGTGTCTGTGGAACTCCTGGAACTCCTCTCACCCTTCTCCAAATCTGCTGGGTTAAACCCGTAGGCGAAGCACTTGGGCGTTCCCCACTCCGTGCTCATCAAGACGTTGTGCCTGGGCTGGTACCAGAAATCGTAGCCAAATGGTGGGACTTTGGTGCCTTTTTCCCAGTTGCCCTTCACCTCAAAGGTCTCTCCATCCAGCAGCACAAAACCCCCTGCAAGGGAAAACGAAACGTTATTTATTTGTTACACTTATTTGCTGCCCATCTCGCCGCAAGGTGACTCTATTAATATATTGATATTAGCATTCAAGCAGGGATGAAATGCACTTACCTTCACTACCGGTTCGGAAATATGAGTGCTTGCACCTGTTCTACGCATGCGCAGAGCCTTAAAAATGGGATGTAATGATGTCCCAGCGGGTGGGTGGAGCCTCCTGCTGCCAGCCCTACCGGTTCGCACGAACCGGATAGATCCGGCCGGATTTCACCGTTGCATTCAAGATTGCATTAAATGAACATAAATTCTTTCTGCGTTCTCGGAACAGCGGGTGAACGTCACAGCTCCTCCAAGAGCTATTCAGAGGTTGCAGAGAGATGGCAGAAAGTGGAGACAACATCTCCATCTGATTTCTCCCACTCAAATATTCTCAGGTAGGGAGGCTGCTCCCTGAGTTCAGACCGTTGCTTCTAATGGGATCATCTGTCTGCTGCAGAGAATTCAGCTTTATCCTTCATCTGGCTAAAAACACCTCCTGCAAAAACTCTCTCAGGCTGGGTGGCTTTAGGCCGGCCCCTTTCTCTCAGCCCTACCCACCTCACAGGGTTGTTGTGGGGAAAATAGGAAGACAAAGAGAACAGAACAGAATACAGAACAACAAAACACAACAGAATAGAATAGAATAGGAATAAAACAATAATAGAATGGAATGGAATGGAATAAATAGGATAAGAATATAACAAGAATAGAATACAGAACAGAAAGGTTGTAGGGTCTCCTGCTTGGGCAGGGGGTTGGACTAGATGACCTATAGGGCCCCTTTCAACTCTGTTAATCCAGAATACTTCATTATCCATTGTGTGATTGGACACACAAAGTGTATTAGATACCGTCAGCCACCTTGAGTTATTGACAAAAACAATAAAGGCAGAATTAAAAAGAAACATTAAAAAAGACCTACCTTTTCCATTGCCAGAAGGGTCAGCCATGGTGCTAATCATGATTTCGCCATTCCCCAGGCAATGTGAGGTGTGAGGATTTGCCAAATTGCACTTCCAATAGACATCAATGGGCTCGACAACCTGCAATGCAAGATTATGCCTGAGAAGAGATGAGGATGGGCAGACGGACCACGGATAGATGCACCCAGCCCCTTCACCACCCAAGCTTTGCACAGGGTGAGAAACAGGACGTGTCGGTCCCGAGAGCGAAAGAAGCTTGCAAAGGCAAGAGAAGGAAGATGGTTCTGTGAAGCCCCCTTTGGAGGGGCCCCCTCAGGCCTGGCGTGTACCTTGTGGATCTTGGGGGCCCTCAGGTTGGTGCCGGTGTCGATCACGTAAATGCGGGACGAGATCAGGCTGGGAAGAATGAGACGGTTGCGCTTCTTGGTGGTGTCTCCGAAGCAGCTGCTACAGGCGTTCCAGCCGGAATGGTGCAGCTCGTCATTGACGTTGGGCATCTGCAGGCGGTGGATGACCTGTGGGGTGGCAGAGCCCACTTGGGACCTTTGGACAGGCCCTCAAAGACCTTGTGTTCCTTCCCCTGCACTCTGTCTAGAGTCTTTTTTAATATTCCGGCGACCAAAACTGGATGCAGTATTCCAAGTGTGGTCTTATGTAGCCCAAACAGAATTCGATTCTAAAGCCGACTTGTGTTATTTCTGGTCTTAACTTAATGTCTTGCAACGCTCTGCCCCTTTCTTCCTCTCTCCCCATCCCCCAGATTATTTTAATCAACCCCTTGGGGTCTCCAACCTTGGCAACTTTTTAAGACTTGTAGATTTGAAGTGCTGGCTGAAGAATTCTGGGAGTTGAAGTCCACAAGTCTTAAAGTTGCCAAGATTGGAGACTCCTGGTTTTACGCTGAGAAACAGGACTTGAAGTGAATCAGCTCACTCACACTCACACACACACAGAGAGAGAGAAGCAAACAAGCGATTTAACCACGTGATTTACTGGAAGGACATGTTGCTTGGCAGTGAAGGGTGGGTAGGGATGTCTTGTGGACATTTTTTCTTTTGCAACCCTGCATTATTCAGATCCCAAAGCATGCAGGAACCAGCACCCACCCACCCCCGCTTTCCGATTTCTAAATTGTTTGAAAAGGGGTTGTTGGTCTTTTGGGCCATAATTATTAGCCAATGTTTTTTGGAATGCAGAACTTTGGGTTATCTCCACCCATCCACCCACCCCGTAAAGATAAAAGTGGGGATTTTGAAATGGGCTTGCACGGTGTGTCAATCAAGAACGCAGGATTTCAGATATTGGCAGTGTCCCTGAAATAACCATGAAAAGTGTCAGCCGCTGGAAAAGTCCGTAGTTTAAGATTTGAGCAGCTGCTCGAGTTTGACAACTGCTGGGCCAGTTGTCCTGAGTAAATCCTGAGGGACTCCAACCCCAAGATTGATCCAAGAAAGGAGGAAGAAAGCAATTGGCATTTGATCCGAAAGGAAACATTCTCCAGTTGGAATTTTAGGCAGCAAAGAAAGGCAACTGCAGGGTTCAGATTTCCTGACAGACTGCAGGGAAGAGAACCGTTTTCTCTCAGCTTCTGAAGGAACCACAAAGTATCTGGGGATACTTTGCTATATTGGGCAGCAATTTCTCCCTCATAATGTGGAATTAAATCTTGAGAATCCTGGGTTTTTCCCCCTAAGGCTTGATTGAGTCATATAAAAGCCCAGCTGCGCTCAGATTCTTTCTAAGATTTAAAATATTTTTTCATAAAAGACGAGAGAAAAGCAGCATTTGAAGCAAGGAGAAAACCGGGAGTGTATCTGTGAATCAGAAAGTCCACCGTTAAGCATTTAAAAATGAGGCATCCTATGTGTGCTGTCGAGAGATATCAAGTCATCCCAAAATACCTTCCCTATCTCGGGAATCACTTTGCTCAAAGCTGTCCCGTTTGCCATTATTAGGATATTGAGCTGCTGTTATGATAAACCAGCTTTGAATTTGAATTAAACCTACTTGGCAGTAAGTATGGGATTTGGGGTCCACATCCACAGTGGCCAAATAATCCGGTTTTTCTGTTCCGGTGTTTCGGTAGATGCAAGGCAGATAGACGATCTCTTCCCGTGGCCCTTTTGGAAGAAAGGGCAGAAAGAAAAGTTACATATAACTTTGAATGATCACTAAATGAATGATTGTAAGTCTAGAATTCCCTGTAATTGGGTCAGGTTCTGTGCAAGGCAAATATTGAGGATACACAATGATTATCCAAGAGTGGTTTCATTTTAGGACACACACACACCCACACGCACCGGTGTCCCCTCACCTTTCATTGCATCCAGCGGGGTTTTGTATCCCGGCCCGCACTCTCCGCATTTTGCTGCAATTCAAAACGGACAAGAAGAAAGTTAAAAACACACAAGAGAACAGCGATGGAACCAAATCAGCTCAGGATATGCTTTGAAATTCTGTGTCACTTTGATTGTGTCCTTTCCTGATAAATTTCTTGGTAGCTTCAGATCAGGGAATTCTAGGGCTGAATTCAGCTTCCTGCGAGTCTTTTTAAAGATTTCAAGTTGCTAGTGCTCATGACTTCAAGGATATCTTTCCCTGCTGAGACATCAGAGGTGTGGTGAGTGTCAATTAAAGAAGTTATTTAAGTAAAATAAGTTGAGTAGCATGCCCTGGTTTTATAGCTTGTCCTAACGTTCATTGCTTTGATGCCGAATGAACTTTGTCTTCTTCAGGTCTTCCTGACTCAGTTTGACTTTTTTGCATGGAAGGGAGTCGAAATAATTCATTAGGAATCGAGTTAGAAATTAGCATCACTCTTTTCCCTGGAGAAGCCACAGTGGCAGCCCTGATAAACTCAAGCACCCCAGTGATTGGTAGGTTAAAATGCAATTATTTAAGTGTTATTGTGATTTCCTGCCCTACCCCAATGAAACGGTTGCTTTTATTGACCTGTTAGCTTAGCGTGAGCCTGCAACATTTGCAAGGATTCAGACCAATGTATAAGCCATTTTGAGACGTGCCGAGTGAGCAGAGCGTTCGTGTGACGGTGTATTGATGAATTATGTTTGACTGTAGGTGTGATTTGGCTGATGTTGCAAATGGGCTTCATTCCTGCAGTCATGGTAGGTGTCCTGAAGTCAATCCCCCCAGTGAAGCCTCCAGGTTTATGAACAGTCTACCAGTCCCTGCGAAGCAATGCTCCTCGCCAGCATTGGCTCCTGTGACTTTGGGCAGTCAGTGTGGGAAAGAGGTAGCCCTTTTCAGGACAAGTCTTCCGTGTGGATGGGGAAATGTGGGTCAGCTTGGCTCAGGGTTTGTAACTGTGTGCCTGTCCTGTGTTGTGCGTCAAGGGGAAACGGCACGAAGGAGCAATTCCACTGGGACCTTCTGAATTCAGCTTCCTCAAAGAAAGATTCTGGCTCTTGGCTCAGTCAAGAATTTTGCAGCAGATGCTTCCAGTCTTCGGAGGGAGGCTGTGCGCTGCTGAACACTCCCTTGTCATAAATTTTATTTCCGAGCATGAACAGTGGGGAAGAACGTTTCATAAGCCTGCTTGGGCAACTGCCCAGTTGCTGCTGCTGTCACGCAAGTGATGGGACTGGCCCAAAGATCATTTGGTGGGTAGTTGCAAAACCACGGCAGAGTTCCATTCCTCACATGATGCTTTCTGAGTGTTTGGGACTTCCCAACAAGTCTCTACTCACAAGGACCCTGGGAAGCTGGTCACTTTATGACCCAATGGAGAAACTGCCTGATATCCCAGTCTTGAGGCTGGACATTTAGTCCTAGATTTTACCACACCTCTTTACCTCACTGGTTTATTTATATTGCATTGTCTGCTTTATCTCTGGAAGCCAGGTGTGGGCCCCCACCTCTTGCAAAACCCAGCATGCAGCCTTCAAGTAACTGTTGGGTCTTTAACACACTTTTTTTTTTTTTTGGGTTGTTGATTCTGTTGCAACAGAGCAATACAGCCGTGATTTGCCATATTGGCCTGTTTGAATTAATAGGTAACGTATTAAACCACAGACAAAGAAAAAAATTATGAACATCAAATGACTTTATGGTACTTGAGGATGGATTGAGACCGTCACAACTGGAGATATATCCTCATAACAACTTCATCAGTTGAGCTACAGTTCATTGTGCTAAAGTTTCCTGTGTTTTATTGGGCTTTGGCTTAGCATCTGCAAACCAGTCGATTAAGGCTTGTTGCACAAACTACGAATTAAACAAGCCATCAGTTAATGCATTGTGTAAACCCAGCCACCGTATTTTAAAAGTAGCCAGAAGACAAGTTACCGTAGCTGCAGACTTTGCATTCTGTGTCTCTATTTCTGTAATTTAATCTGGCGCTGCGAGTAAATTATGGTTTTTAAATTGGATGGACTTCCTAATCGGAGCTTATGCAAGATAAGTAGATGTTGCTGATCAATTTCTCTGAAAACTGAGTTAGAGCAGGTCTCCTGAGTCTATCTTGCAGTGACAGTAGCCATATTAATTGGCTTATTTGACTTGATGGAGTGGATCCCGGGAGTTGGGAAAATGCCATCTTAAAACCTTCAGCTATGACTCTGTCTAGGAGAGTCAAGCAAATTTATGCGTCGGTTTGGCTGTAGAGAATTGAGTTTGTTGGGTGGGTTGGATGGATGGAAGCTGAAAGGATCAAAGGAATTGTCACTTTCTGGTATATGATTATATAGTTTGTTAATCTACTGACTGTCATAGCTCTTTACACTACTTCTATCTTGGATATAAGTGGATTCCAGACCATAAATTGAACTGGTTCATCTTATGGGTGGGTGGCTTTGTTGCAATAGGCTAATTCGTTTAATTTTTTAGAAGCCCAAATTCTACCCATCTTGAGCAACACCAGCAGTACAGGGGTAATTTTTTCTCCCTGTTTAAATTCATTAACAAAGCTTTCCTGTTGCATAAGGCATGTCAAGGTTAGCTCGGTTATCGGATTTTATTTATTAAGCTTATGCACCCACTTCCCACTAAGCAAGTTCTCAAGCCAGCTAACAAAACTAAAAGAAAACCAAGGTTCAGAAAGTTAGAAGCATCAGTTAAAACCAACACAGGATCAATGTTCGGTAAGGCCCTGTGTGAGTTTGAGCCAGATGGATGAAGGGGTTTAAAGAACCAGGCTGGAAACCAGGAGACTGTGAGTTCTAGTCTTAACTCCGGCATGAAGCCAGCTGGGTGATTTTGGGCCGGTTGCTCCCTCTCACCTTAGGGGGGGGAAAAATGGCAAAGCACTTTGGAAAACATTTCCAAGAGAACTACAGGAACTTGTCCAGGTGGTTGCCAGATGTTAAAACTGACTTGAAGACACACATTTAATTTGAATGGTTCAGCAACATCTGAAAGGACAGGTTTGAATTACACCAGCGATGATTTTCAATTCTTTGACCATTCCTTTTTTCCTCTGATGGTGACCCATGGACCTAAAATCACCTGATTAATTGCAAGGTTGAGTAGAAATGGCGCAGCATTCGCTCCCTCCCTCTATAGATGGGTACTTTAAACAAGTCCTTTTTTCACCTTTATACTCTCTACGACTTTCCGCTTGAATGCTCATTTCTCTTTACTAAAGGCTTATATAAACAGCATAATCTTATATTTATTCAAAAGCCGATCTCACTGGGTGTTTCCATGTAAGACCTTTTATGACACAGTTTCCTTCGCTTATTCACAGTTTTGGTGGTGGTGCTGGGACTGGGAAGAGCGCCTAGTATTCTCTCCAATTTCTGAAAGTGGCTTTCTGCTTTTTTTCTTCTTCTAGAATCATTTCCTAATACAAAAAGCAATCTCTCTTAAGAGAGAAAGACAGAATTGCATACAATAATAATATTCGGAGCTGTTCTTTAGACCGGCTTCTCCCATTCCCATACCCTGCTTTGACCTCAACTAAGAGAGTTAAAATGCAAAGTATTTGGAGAGACATTGTATACATTTTCCTGCTAATGACAGGGTCCTTCTGCCATTGCTGAAGGAGCCGTTCTTCTGGGGATTTTTGGAGGGAGGGTACAACAGTGGTTGGGAGATTCTAGAGGACAGAAGACATCAGAAGTAAAGGAATTAAATTTAAAAAAAAAAAAAAAAGACATGCCAAAATGCAGATAAACCTGTTTCAAATGTAATCGGAACTGCAACTGCTAAGCCAAAGTGCTTATCAAAGAGAATAGGGGCTTCCTTCCAAGCATAAATGCAGCGGATCAAACAGTGCAAAAACATAGTATAAAAGCCGAGGTATTTTTTTTCCCCCCTGTGTTGCAGAGAGTAGAATCCTAAGTATATATCTTTGGAAGTAAACACATGTGAGTTATTGGTATCCTATTGCAATAAAAATGGATTTTCTTAACAATCAGGATTTTTAGGGACTTTGCCTGGACCAAAACCCTCTAAGAAATAAATGCTACTAAAAGAGAAGAAGTTCTGAAATCTCACTGGCACTTTGCATCTCAAAAGCTAAACTCCCTGAGGGTTACGGTACACTTTTTAAAGTATACCTGTATTAAAATTGATACGTGACCTCCTGTCAAGCTAGTTGCATCAAATAAATGGCATTACTGGCTTTCTCCAACTTGCGTAAGTGTTATAATAATGATAATCTATTCCTGAGCTTCTACATTGGAAAAGTCTGAACTACGCAGGAAACCCTGGACAAATCATGGCTGTTTCTGCAGCTGAGTAAAAGAATGTGGCCTCCGTCTTGTTTTGGCTTACCCATGGTGGTGGACTTGGATTATTCCTGATCTCTTCCCTCCAAAGAATTCTGACCAACGAAGAGGATCCTACAGACCAGAGGCAAGGCTTTTTCTGGAGGAACATATATCTCTGTATTTCAGTGGGTGGAGAAGAGGCGTGTTGGGAGGAGGACTATTGCAAACTGCTGAGCAATTCCAGATGGGGAGGGCTGTGTTTTCAGTCCAAAAAATCCAATGGTTTCCTTTGATTCTGTAAGCTGTCTCTTGTTTCTGTCTTGAAAGATCTGGTTCTTTGTCCTGTCAATAGTTGATTGCCTCATCTTTTAGCTTCGTCAGACAGAAAATCCTTCTCTGTTTTGGGCTGGAGGTGCAAAGAAAAGAAAACTCTTAGCTGGAGGTGGTGTTTCAAAGAGTATATCAGCGCCCAGCACAGACTCAACACAAGTATAGCTCTGAAACTGGCAGGCAGCGGAGATCTGGCAACTCATTTGCTTTCCTGTCAAGCAACTGCCGGTGGACTTTGGAGATGGTTTTTGTCCCTCTTTAGTTGAAAGTACCCTTAAGAATGCCTTTCTTCCCTTGTTACTGTTAATTAAACCCCAACTAAGCAAATATTTAATAAGATGAGGTGAGTAATTGCTCAGTTTTGTTCAGTTCTGAGTTTGATTCTGTTTGATTTGTAAAATCTTGCACAGACCAACTACTTTTCATGGTGAATGTTGATGTTACAGATTACATTTTTAATGCCATTAGTAGATTTCAGCACCCTCTTGAATTTTTAAGATGTTCCTTTTTTCTGCTCAAATAATGACAGATTGTTTAACTGAAGGAAACCTGTTTCACATCATTATATGAAGATTATTAAATCTGTATAATTTTCATTGCATATGCTAACAACTCCCAAAGTACCGTATATTATACTGATTCTCCTCCAGTTAACAGGATTTGTGAACCCTTCGATGCTAATCTGTACAAACCAACAAAAATTGTTAAAAAATCAATCTGGGTTAGCAGCCCTGTCACTAGGAAAATTTTCTGAATGGTTCCTTGCTTTTTGATTTAGAAAAAACTCAAAGGGTGTCTTGGAGACCATATATTGCCAAAAATGTACAGCTACACATTGCTTATAATGACTCTTTAGAATGTATTTACTATATTTTTTGGTGAGTAGATGGCAAATAGATAACTCCTATTTGTTGGTGGATGGATAGACAGCTCTTCATTTCTCCAGTTCATGATAACTTAATTGAAACAATAAAATATGCTTTACTGTATGTTAAGTTTCAATAAAAAGGCCAGATCCTGAAGATGAAACTCAAATACTTTGGCCACCTAATAAGAAGGAAGGACTCTCTGGAGAAGAGCCTAATGCTGGGAAAGATTGAGGGCAAAAGAAGAAAGGGACGACAGGATGAGGTGGCTGGATGGAGTCACTGAAGCATTTGGCGTGAGCTTCAATGGACTCCGGGGGATGGTAGAGGACAGGAAGACCTGAAGGAACTTTGTCCATGGGGTCGCGATGGGTCGGACACAACTTCGCGACTAACAACAAGAAGTTTCAATAATGGGCAGATTTTGAAGAAAGAAAATATTAGTCATATGATTCTGTATGAGATACATGCTCATTAGCATGTTTATTGTTTGCAGTTTATGGAATCCCAGTATATTTAATTTGAATATGTTACTCTGGTTACTAGTTAATATACTTTAAAAGAAAATTGATCCAAATGCCTGGGAAAGGAGGGGTTGCATATTGACATCCATTAAAATTGAAATTTGTTTCACTTTGCATGGTTCTGACTCTGTATTTCTTTCTTGGAGTCTGATGATCACGGATTAAAATGTGATAGAACTTTGAAGCTAAATTTTAAACAGACTAAAGTAAACATGTTTACTTTAACAGTACTGGATGTAACTTTTTAGTACAATTTATTTTTCCTAATGCAATTTGCAATATTGTGTCCTTTTCATAAGGAGTTATGGGCAGTTTCTGGGTTTAAGAATGAGTTCTGTTCCTAACTCTATTTTTAACTAATTTATATTTAAATTGGAACTTTTACCATGAACGAGCTTTAGTATATTACTAAAAATGTGGATAGCATTCTCCTTCCAGCTGATGAACTGTTGAAAGCAGGCAGTATATCAAAAACCTGCAGCTTCAACGATTCATAAAAACATTGTGGGGCTTCAGTGGTTCAACTCAAGGGACAATGCCATTTGAAAGTGTGGCTTGTCTGCAAGAACACATAGGGTACACCAAGAGACTTATTGCTGTCTCTCAGTCACTAATGATTTTCAAAGCTTTGGTCCATTCATTATTGAGAGATGCTCCATAGTCCTACATTCTTATGGTTAAGCTACATAAGTGTAGCATTTGTGCAAACGCGTGGGCCTTTTTCCTCTGGCTGTCTGCCATTTGGGATGCTTTCCTCTTTGAAACTGTTTATCTTGTAATTGAGGAACAAAACCAAGAATTCTTGCTTTCCAGGCCTTTGGAAGGTTCATTCCTTGGAAGCATCTCTGAAATTGAGTTTTAATTGGCATTTTCTCACAATGGTATTTTTTTTTAGCTGCTATGATATCTGGCTACATTATAATTGTAGATTATCTTGTCGACACCAAGCAAATGTGAAGGTAGGATAGACCGTCATTGCATGCTCAAATTATCTTATGGAAGAGTCAGTCAGTAGTGAGATGGGCAGCATATAAATTGAATAAATAAAATAAATAGAAGAGGAAAAAACAGGCAAAATCTCAGTGTAACAGTCTCATAAGAGTCGCACGTTTAATAAGAGTATGACATAATCAGGTACACATCTTTCATCACAAGATTAAGACACATTGGACGGTCCCAAAGGTGTTTTTTTTTCAAGAGGCAACTGGACTTTCTGGTTTGTCTTTGAAGACGTTTCACTTCTCATCCAAGAAGCTTCTTCACATTGGACAGCTTCTGCTCTGCATCGGCCAGGGTTGCCTTTGGTGTGACTCTCCATTGTCTAGCTGGGGAGAGCAGAACCCCGTGGTCAGAATTTCCCCATTTTTTCTGCAGGGGAAAAAAAATGGCATTGATGAAGTGGTGGGCCTGCACCCTGATGCTTCCTGGGGATGTCTTCCACTTTGTCGCCTTCTCCTGAGGAGAATTTACCTCAGGAAAGCCCTGAGGAGAAATGGTGGAGGAAGAGGAGGAAAAAGGAAATGATGATGATGATGGAGGAGGAGGAGGAGGAAGAAAAAGAAAAGATAAGAAGGGAAGGAGGAGGAGGCAACCTTTTCCCTCCAAATCTCCTCAGAATTGTCAGCCTCAGACAAACTTCAACCAAGCTGCCTCGCTCGGGGCGAGCCCCTCCGCCGGTGACGTCACGCGCAGCGGCCAATCCGCGCTCCTCTCGGCGGGGCGAAGGAAATGACGACGGAGCCGTATCCCTCCGCCGGCCAGGACCCCTTTTTTTGTGTATGTGTGTGTGTATGTGTGTTGTTGCTGCTTCTGTGTACCAACCCGCAACCCTTTAAAAAAAAAAAAAAAGAGGAGCCGTGTGGGAGGGGGCGGGGAGGCTCATGCGAGCCGCGCCGCCGCCGTCGCCCTTCTCCCAGGAGCCGGCGGGGGGCGCGGGTCCCTTTAAGAGTGGGGACGAGCCCTGCCTCGGAGCCCAGCGAGGGAGGCGAGGCAGCCACCGGCGGCCGCCGCCGTTCTGGGGAAGGTGAGTCGGCGCCATCCCGTTATGTGTAGCGGCGGGACGGGCGGGGCGGGGGGGGAATGAGGGAGCGGAGAGGAGAGAGGTGGGGGGAAGAGCCTGCGCGCGGTCGGCAGGGGGGCAGCGCGCGTGCGCGGGGCCCTTCGAGGGGGGGAAAAACCGTTGGAAACCGGTTCGAACTGCTCCCGCAGTGGGTGGGGGGGCTCCTCTCGCGGTTTTTTTTCCCCTCCCCTCTCCATGAGGGAGAGGGGGGGGCGAAGCGGCGGGCTGAGGGAACAGCGCGCGCGAGAGCGAGAGAGGGGAGCGCGCGCGGTACACAAAAGCGAGCGCGAGACGGTTTCCCTCAGCCGGGGAAGGAGGGAGGGAGGGAGGGAGGGAAGCAAGCGGCTCAGGGAGGACGGCGATTGGCTGGCGGTGGAGAAAAGAGGCGTGGCCTCCCTCCATTCTTTTTCTCGCAGGTAGCCCTCCGCTAGGCGGCGGCCTCCTCCGCTTGGTTGGGAGACGAGCGCGGAGCGATACTTTATACCGGGATTTTTTTCTTCTCTCTCTCTCTCTCTCTCGCCGTGAGGGGCGGGGCGAGCGGGGCGCGAGGTGGAGAAAAAAAAGGAGTGAAGCGTCGGATCCCTCCGCCGGCCCCTCCTCCCCTCCCCCTTTTTTCTGGGCCTTTGGGGGGGGCGCTGAGGAGGGGGAAAAAAAAGACGCGTGGCTCCCCCCCCACGCCCAAACGTGTGGAAATAATAAGACGTGGGTGGCGTCTTTTACAACACCCCCACCCCAGCAACATTGTCCTCACTTCTGGGCAGGCGGCCATGTTGGCTGGGAGGGATTACTTTCTTCTCCCCCCCCCTTTTGGGGGAGGCCCAGTGCTGATTCATAACCCTCGTGGTTAGGGGGAGGGGCTGTTTTGGAGTGGGGGTGTATGTGTGGGGGGCAATTGGCTGCTGGCTTCCCATTTAGACAAAAACTAGGAGGGGCAGGCGGGGGGTCCCCTCTGGTGGGGCCCACAGCATTGCCTCCCTCACAGGACAGCCACTTCCACACACGCCCCCCCCCTTTTTTTTTTTTGCAATGGCCTTGTGATGCCCTTTGGGCACCTCGGACTACAGTTCCAATCGCCCTGGCATGCTTCATCTGCCCAGCACCCTCGCACGGTGCTCCAGACACCTGTTGCACTGCGACCCATCTTCCTCTCTATAGTTTGGCCAGGCATTGCCCTCCAACCGCCTCCAAGGCATCCGTGGGGCAGAGGTGTCCTTGAGCAACAAAAGCCCCTTGGCTGCTCTTGGCCCCATTTCAGGTTCTCCTTGTCCTTTGCCCTTGCTCCTGTACAGACGCGGCCATACTCTGCCCAAGTCCCATCATCCCCATCCCAGAACTCTGGAGGTGGTGGCACTACGCAGAAGTGAGAGATGGCACAGTGGAGTTGCCATCTTTGTGGCCTATCTGCGCTTTGAACATGGGAAATGCCGGCGTGGTTCGCTTGGTCGCTCTCTACAGAACAAATCCGTGTTAAAAACTCCTGTTGTCCTTTTCCCAAGTCTAGGAAGCTCCATCCGGGAAAAACTCCCACATGTCATTACGATTGGCAACCGGGCTGCTGAATTTTTACATTATTCTACGGCGCTTGAAGTTCTTGTTGAACAAGCCAAGGTTGTCCTGATGTGCCACAGTTGATGTGACTGCAGGGTGGTCTCAATCACCTCAGATGGGATGCAAAACCACATGGGGATATGGGGTAGCTCACCCTTAACAAATCTTTTCACATTTATTCTGGTTGCATTGGTATAAACGTGTGTAATTCTGGCCTGTAAAGTGAGAAACACACTAGTGCACAGCGATTCTTTTTCCTTAGATTTTAGTGGATTAAAAACACATACAAGAGTAGATCGTGTTCTGAACAGCCTCACTTTCTTCCTCTAATAGACCTGTAAAACATTTATCCTTCTTGTACGATTCCATTCCTGCCTTTTCTGACATGCTTAACAATATTGGATTGGAACAGAATAGTTGTGTTGCTTCTTCGGTTCTGAATCTGACCCACTTGTCCAAACAGGACTGGATTTTTTCATCATACAACCTGTTGTGTTTCTTCTTTAGTTTATCCTGGAGAACTCCTAAACTGCCTATCATGAAGTACTGTTCACTAATAATTTCCTGTGTTGTAGTTCATGTGCTTGGCTTTTCTGATGCGTTAAGTTTTCTAGCTGGGTCGCTTAATAGCATCTTGGATCCAGATCATTCAGAAATCATTTGAAATACTGTTTCAGAAAACGGTTGTGTTTTCTCCTATACATCTGCATTTTTGTTCTGTTGAGTATTTTTTTTTAAAAAAAAAAGTAGAATAGCTTTAGAATGAGACCAGGCTCAGAACTCGCCCAACTTACCCTGAATGTACTGGGAATTTGCAGTAAATGACCATGCACAACAATGTGATACTCTATTATTTTGTTTACATAGCTTAGCCACTTACCAATTTGTAGTTAGTATTTTTATGTGTGTGTGTATGTATGTTTTCAACTGTTTCTTACGTGACAGTTTCTTCTACCCTCACTTCACAGTGAAGTGACAGATGTTATGAGACCTTACCTTCAAGCTCCATCTAAAAAACTTTATACACGTCCCTCCGTCACATAGGAAGGCAGAACAATCTCTAATTCACAAAATACGTTTTCTTTTAATGTCACAGCTTTTTTTGTCTAGTTGTTACAGTAAGGTTGCCTTCTGTAATTTACATTGTATCTGATGAGTAATCAGTTATACAACTCGGTGGCTACATTGTAAGGCATCACCAACAGATTTCCTATTTTATCTTCTGTTTCTTATGAAAAGATGAACTGGTCTAAATTTTTTATTTGCTCTATTTCATGAGGAAAGGGAGAAACAGAAAATTTGACCAACTGTATGTTGCGATTGAAGTTTTACCAGATTTTATAATGGATTCCTGGCCACTGTTTGTCGGTTGGCCTGCAACATCAAATATTTTTATTTCCGAGTTGCTTTACAAACAAATAATCAAAAGCAGTTGCTTCTGTGGCCAAGGTTGGGTTAAGCTCTTTGCATTTTTGATTTAGGTTGAATACTTGAATGGTTGGCTGTCTTTGGAAGGAAAACTGATGCCTTGTTCCTAGATAGATTGACGGGCTCTTGATCTGAGCTTCATTTTTTTGCCTAAATATCTGTGGTTAAGATGTATATCTTTATCAACCCCATTTGGCTGCTTAAGTCAAGTGGATTTTTATTAAGTGCATTCTTTTCGAGAGCTGACATCATAGAAACGTCAATTCCCCACTTGTTTACAGTGCAATTATTATACAAAGTCCTTGTATAAAAAGAAATCAGGGTAGCTGTAATGGGCTTTAAAATTAAGGAAAGAAAAGAAATAGAGACCAAAATATGCAACTTGTTTCTGAACAAGAAGACAGGTTTGTGCTCCTTGTAATCCTAGAAGTACAATACAAAACCACAAGGAAACAAGGAAATAATACGCTGATTTAAGTTACAATTTTGATCCTGTAATTGCAGTTTTAAACAGACAAACATTTGAACATGGATGGAGGAAGAAAACCATTTTCCAGATAAACTTTATTCTAGCTGAATCCCAAATGTCAACGTTAATCTGCAATTTGAGCAAAGACTAGCATGACTGTCTTGGTAGATAGTGGGTATTAAACAGGCATTACCTCTCCCTATGGATTTGAACAAATCCTGAGTGATTTTTGTGATCTGTTCGTCTTTTGGCTACATTTTTAAAATCCTGAGTGATTTTTCTGCCTGATGGTTAAAAGGGAGACATGAAGGCATAGGAGTCTTTTTCTGTGGAAGTGCAGAATATTCCAGGTTCCTGTCTGGGCATCTTGGAGAAAAAAGAAGAGAGAGAGCAATATTCTTGGGGCAAAATGGTGCAAGTCCAGTGCTGGGTATAATCTGTTGTGTTTCCCAAGGGTGGTGTTACTTTCCGGAGCAATCCCTGGTGGTAAATTTTAAAGTTACTGAAAGGTTCCCAGAGAAGTTTCACTGCAGTGAAAACCAAAGCAGGTCTGCAGTGTGAAAAGCACAGCATGGAAGGAGAAAGGCAGGGGGAATCAAAGATCCAGGCCGTGGGCCTTCAGCATTTGCGATTCTCAAAATTGGTTTGCTTGACCAGGCAAAATTCTATTTACTTGCCTGTCTGGGTTCACTTGTTGCTTGCATCTGTTGATGTAGGACTTCTGTACGCAGTTGTTGCTTCTGAACAGATGAAAATGTGTATTATTGGATTTAACCTGTGCAGAGTGAACTTTGGAAAAGCACCTTGTATTCCAAAGGTCCTTTTTTTGCTAACCATTTCTTAAAATCTCCCCTCCTCCCTCCCTCCCTCTTACTGAGGTTCGTCTCTTTTTTTTAGCATGAAGTAGCCATAGATTGTATACTGGATACCTGCAAAACCTTGTTTCCATTTCACATTTTGGAGTATGCTCGCTTTTCATGACAACAAACCCAGGAGGATCCTTCCCTGAGCAAGGAAGAAACAGTGCTGGTTTTGCTGTATAAAGCAAAGGGCCTTTGCATTCGGTGAATTAATTAAACAGAAGTCTGTTTTAATAGGACTACCATTCAACATGTTCCGTTTTCTTTACACGTTTTAAATAAACGGCCTCATATATTTAGTGCATTCTCTCTGCCTGCTTTTGTGAGAGAGAGCATCTGTCACCAGTGTAGCAGAAAAGTAAATGTTAGCATATTTATCACAAGGATTAAATCATCTTATTGAGCAGAATAGTTTTGATGTCCTCCCAAATATCCACAGTGGGAATTTTGGAAGGAAGAACGGGATGGAATTGTAGAAAGATTCTTAGTTGAATGAACCGGTTACAGGTTTGTGTTCCTATATCGTGGATAGCAATAGTTTACCATCTATTTGTACATATTTTAAAACTTGCAGGTGCCTGCCGTCTTACTAAAATGGCAAAAAAATCATTTTTTTTAAAAAAAGAAACTGGATCCTTCTAACAGCTCTTTCACCAAGGTGTAATTTATTTGTCATGAGGGATAAATGGATCACAGCTAATCACACAGTAAAGCTTTTTAGTGTTGTTTCTAAAGATTTCATTAAGATTGAAGGCAACGTGGAAAATTTTGCAAGGCTACATTTCCTTTTTTAATTCTGTTTTAAGATGAGCAGGAAAGATACAGGAATTTTCAGCGTGGGACATTAGGTCCAAGTGAGGGCCCTTTTTACTTTTTCAAACAAACTAGAACCAAAACTAAAATCAATGTGTAACTTACAGTAGATGCAACCTGGTTGGTTTAGCAGCTTTTTGGAATGAGAGGCACAAACCAGAAGAATATAGATCAGAATTGCTGCCCAAGTTGTGCTGCTCCCCCTCTCCCCCCCCGCTGAATTCCCTCTCCTCCCTTGTCCCAAAGATGACCTCCTCTTTCTTCTCCCGCCCCCCAAAGATGGCTGACACGGACCTGTTCATGGAATGCGAAGAGGAGGAACTTGAACCCTGGCAGAAGATCAGCGATGTGATTGAGGACTCTGTGGTGGAAGATTACAACTCGGTGGACAAAACGGCTACAGGTGATCGTCCTCTTCCAAAGCCCCAGCTCTGCGTTACGTTAATGAACTTGCATTTTGGCAGACGATCATAGTGGCCGGTTCTAGTCCCTGATGTGCAAGAAATGAATTGCTATGTGGTTTTTTAATTTATTTTTATTGCTTTTTGGCTGCACCTTGGCATTTTCAGAGGGCACAGACAGAGCCCCCAAAGAGATAGGAAGCAGACCTGTGAAGCTCCCAGAATCTGTTCCTAGTGAGAGTTGCTCACCTTTGATGGGGCCACAGACTACACTTCCTTTCTCGAACTCTGCCTTCTTGGCCTCCTTTCCTTTCTCCTGTTGGGTTGCATTGCGTCTGCCTGGGGTCCCAAGCAGCACCCACATTAGGAGAGTCCCAGCTCACGGAGGGATGGTCTTCTCCGCTTTAAATCACCTAATAGTCTTTGGTCACCTGCGGGGGGGAAAAATTAAAACAATCTCTACATAATTCCTTCCGCTGGCTATTAATATCCTCGTGGGTGTAACAGATTGACATATTTAATAATTCGTCTTCCTCTTCTTGGCGGGCTGTTTGCATTTGCTCCTTCCCAGCCTTCTGGCAGATACCAAGAACAGCCTTGGCTCCCGTTTAACGCAGAAAAGTTCTTTCTGGAACAGGATTGCCAAAATCTGGGTAACCAGGAAAACCAGCAAAGAGCCAGCTTGTTCTCTGATCTGTTGGCTGTGTTCAAGTTAGTAGCCATCCCAGGTTTCAGCCTGCTTGACCAGCTGGGCCTAAAGCCCATGACAGAATAAAGGGAACCTTGCAAAATAAGTCAACGAAAGTTGCTAGTCCGTAATGCCCATCATTGGGGAGCTCCAAAAGACGTCTCCCCACCCCAATTTTACACCTGGCAGTTTTCCAGGGGGGACGGTGAAAACCTGGTGCTGCTTGCAGGAGACCCAATAACCATTCTGAGTTTCCTCCTTGACAGTTTCAGTCAGCGTGCAGCCAGTGGCCGCCCCTGTGCCAACCGTTGCCCACGCGTCCATCGGCAGCGGCCTCCCCACCACGCCCGTTAGCAGCAGCGGCACCTCCAACAGTGACAGCACGAAGAAGACGTTGGTGACTCTCTTTGCAAACAATAGCAGTAAGGATCTTGAAGGGTCTCGGGGGCATCCAGGGGAGCTGAGAGCGTTTCCCCCACCCCACCCCACCTGTTGTCAGGTCTCTGGCATCCCTGTTGGTGGGACGAAAGCAAGGTCCCCGTCCTTAGAAGCGCCCCAACAATTTATAGGGGGGGGGGGGGACTTGGAAAAATTCTCGTACTTTTCACCTCTTTTTCCTGCTCTGTCTGTGCCCTGTCGCTCACCTGGGATGGGCCCCAGCCCAGAGGATTGTGGTGCAGTTCCCCTTCAGAAGGAAGCTGGGCTTTCCTGGGCTTTGCTGATGTAGCATGTTTGAATCCTTCGCCCGTGTGAACTCCAGGGTTTCAAATACAGGCGGTCCACGACATACGACCACAATTGAGGCCAAAATTTCCATTGTTAAGTGAGTTCTGCCCCATCTCTTGCCTCAGTTGTTCAGTGAATCACTGCAGTTGATAAGCGAGTCACCCGCTTGTTAAGTGAATCTGGCTTCCCCATTGACTTTGTCTGTCAGAAGGTCGCGAAAGGGGGTCACGTGACCCTGGGACACTGCAACGGTCATAAAATGGACCAGCTGCCAAGCATCTGAATTTTGATCTCCTGACCATGGGGATGCTGCAGGGGTCGTCCGTGTGACAAAATGGTTCTAACTCCCTTTTTTTCTGTGCTGTTGTAACTCTGAACGGCCACTAAATGAACTGTGTTGTAAGTCGAGGACTGCCTGTATTTAAATCAACTCCACAGCATGTCCCCTCCTCTTATAAACGAAGTAAGCAGTCTAACACACACACTCTGCCGCTTTCTCGGTGTGTGAGAAGAACAGGAATTAGTGTAGCACTGCTCCCCTTCTAGAGGGGCCCGAACTTCTCAAAGCCCCCCACCAGCGTGGCAGAATTAGAAGACCCCTTAAGTGTAGGAGGGCAGCCTTATCATTGGCCCCTGCAAGTAACGACCCTCTCCTCTTTTTTTCCCCAGCCGGCACGCCTCTGGTTCAGCAAGGGGGCCAGCCCCTGATCCTCGCTCAGAACCCCACCTCCGGCCTAAGCACGGTGGTGACTCAGCCCGTTCTCCGGCCTGTCCAGGTCATGCAGAATGCAAACCACGTGACCAATTCTCCAGTGACCAGCCAGCCCATCTTCATCACGACTCAGGTGAGGGGGCGTTTGGCCCCAGTCGATGGTTCCCTTTGTAGTCCACCACTTTTTTCGACCGTGGCAACTGGGTGGACTTCAACTCCCAGAATTCCCCAGCCATGCCGTTCATTTAAAAGGCTCAGAGAACAGGCCGAGCGTGACTTATTGCCAGCTAACATTGCACAGACTATCCATCGATTGTAATGGGGGGAGGGGATGGGGGACATGGTTTCCCAGCAATTGTCCACCCACCTGACTGCCTCTCAAGGTGCTGGGAATAAACCGATTCTGCCTTTGGGGAAGCTTTCTACAGGTAACACCTGGATGCCTGTTGCAGTTTTGTAACTATTATCTATTCAACATAGTCCTTTGAATAGAATAACAGAGTTTCCTGGTTTCCTGCAGCCAAAGCTTCAGTCCTTGGTAAACTTTGACTGATAAACAGCTATGACTGTTTATTTTTTTAAAGAAACCTGAAAACCCGGCCTGATACTTTTTATTTACATTGAAGTTTCAAAAAGGTACAAGCTAGCCGTTTCTGTCCTGTTATGACCTGGAGGCAGTACACAATTAGTAGGATGATTTTTTCGAGAGTTTAATTAGGCAGAACGATCTAAAGTAAATAGCCTGGGCAGTTTTCACCTTCTGTCCATATCATCCAGGCGTGTCTTTGTGGCCAGAAGATGGGCTACGGTTAAATGATGCGATGAGCCTTAGAAATCTTGATCCCCTTTTAGAAATGGGATCGCCTTTTGGCACTGAACGGTTGCCTCTGGCGAGATCAGAACGTGCCAGGCAGGCAGGCCGGCCTTGCTCTCACCTGGGCTTGAGCTCCTAAAGCGGCTTCTTTTCCTTGTCCGAGAAAGGGTTTCCCCGTGCGGAACGTCCGGCCTGTGCAAAACACGATGAACCAGGTTGGGATCGTCCTGAATGTGCAGCAGGGCCAGACCGTACGGCCAATTACGCTCGTCCCAGGTAAGGTGGGGGAGGAAAGTCGGAGGGGAGCCAGGAGGGCAGGGTGATGAGCAGAGCCCCGCAAAAATGATCCCCCTTTGGGCACAAAGTCTAGGTCAGGAGGGAGTGGCCGTGCAAATGACCCACCCACTTTAGGTAGTGAGACAGGCAGCCTATAAATTTGAAAAAATAAATAACAGCAGCCTCCCCTCAGTTCCAGCTTTGCCGGGTTTAAAACACAACGTTCTGCCTTTTGCAAGTTCTCCAGAATTTCGGCAACCGCCCAGGCCTTTTCTCCCCTCTCTTCCCTCCCTTCAGCCCCAGGCACGCAGTTTGTGAAGCCCACCGTCGGTGTCCCTCAGGTTTTCTCTCAAATGGCCCAGGTGAGACCTGCTCCAACCATGCCGGTCCGACCGGCCTCCAACACGTTCACAACGGTCATTCCGGCCACCCTGACCATCCGGAACACGGTCCCACAGTCCCAAGCGCAACCGCAAAGTAAGTTCTCCTTCGGCATCTCCTCCTCCTCCTCTTCCTCCACCACCCTGTCCCTCGCTCTGGGAAAGTTCATTGTGCAGCCCACCCATAATCCACTTCTGCCCTTTGACTCCTTCCTCTTCCGCTTCCGAAAGGAAACGATTGGCTCCTCTCCTCCTTTCCCCCTCAGTGAGCATTGCGAGTTTTGTCGCAGTGAAGAAACCCGGCATGGCGGGCGAGAACAGCAACGAGGTGGCCAAGTTGGTGAATACCCTGAGCACCGTCCCTTCGCTTGCTCAGAGCTCGGGCCCCCTGGTGGTGCCCAACAACAGCCAGGCCCATGGTTCCCAGAGGACGGGCCTCTCGGAGTCCTCCTCCCAGAAAGGTGCCTCTCCTAACTTCCTAAGGAATTGGGGAAGGGGTGTGCTGCCCACCCCTTCCTTCCTTCTCCCCAGGGGAAAGAAATAACTTTCTTTTGAGCCTGGAAGAGTTTCTGCCTTCCGGCTGTGTCTCTTTTCCCTCCCCTGATTCCCTTTTCTGTTGCTGTCAACAGTCAGCTCCTCACCGATCCCCGCCTTCGACCTGCAAGACAGCGGACGGAAATCCTGTCCTCGCTGCAATGCCCAGTTCAGAGTCACTGAAGCTTTAAGAGGCCATATGTGCGTAAGTAATCGTTCCTGGCCCAGAAGGTCAGCCGTGAGACGGTAGCCGACGGGAGAACCACAGATATAGTTGTATGCGCTCCAAGCTTACAATTTCTGGAGTAGAACCATCCAGAAAGGCATCCGAAACTCAACTTTGGGGTGAGGGGGGCTGATGGGGAGAAATCTCGGTAGAGCACAGCGGATTCATGGATTTTGCTTGCCCCAGTGCTGGAAAAAGAGAGTCGCTCAATTCACGGCTAAGTGAAGCCTGTAATGGCCCCATTACAACCGTGGACTCCAACTCCCAAAATTCCTGGACAGGCCATGTTAGCTCAGGAATTCTGGCAGTTGGAGTCCACGGGTCATAAAGGGGCCATGATTGTCCAACCCTGTCTTAGATGCTCATGACAAGGCCCATTATTTCATCCGGTCTCTTTGACCGTGTGCCACGGGGGACAACCGTCCTACTCAGAAGGTGGTTTGCAAGCAAGGTGCAGAGATAAATACCTATTGGATTTTGGAGATTTTTATCCCTGCACCAAGAGAGACAAGACCTGTTTGCACAGCAGCCAGGACGAAGCCAGGCTGCCACAGGGTGGGAAGCAAAAGACCAGACCCAGAGAAAAGAGGGGAAGCTCTCATTCGGACGACCTGCCTTTCCAAAGTGGCTACAGCATATACAAGAATTCTTACTGTCCTCGTCTTTTTTCCTCCCCACAGTACTGCTGCCCCGAAATGGTGGAATTCCTGAAGAAAGGAAAACCCCTGGAGTCCGAACCAAATATCCAAGTCCCCAAGCCCCCTTCCCCGGATAAAACCGCCGCTGTGGCTTCCCCCCCCTCCTCCACCCCCATCCCTGCCCTGTCGCCGCCAGCCAAGCTCTCCGAGCCGAGCGACGGCACCAGCGAGGGGGTGCAGAGCAAGCTGATCATGTTGGTTGACGACTTCTACTACGGCAGGGACGGGGGCAAAGTGAGCCAGCTGCTTAACTTCCCCAAGGTGCCAACCTCCTTCCGATGCCCGCACTGTACAAAGAGGCTCAAGAATAACATACGGTAAGAATAACAGGGGTCCCGGATTTTTTGGGGGGGGGGGGAACAAGAGAAAACTGCCCCCTCTCTTGACCTTTTGAGAAGCACCATCTCCCCTAGAATTAAGATTGATTCTATTTTTAAAAGCTGGGGAAGTTATTCAGATCAGGGGTGCCTCTACATTACAGGTTAGTGAAAAGAAACCGCTTCAGTTTCCCGCTTAAGATATTTTAAAATATTTAACGTTTTCAATGTTTTAATTCTTTGTCCTTTTGCTTTCATGACCTAAGCCGCCCAGTGAGAGGGGCAGCGTATAAATGTAATAAATGAAAAACAAAGAAGCCACTTTGCATATACACCCAGATGAACATTCACAGGGTTTGAACCGTTAATAGAGGAAGGATCCTTTTTTATCTCTATAAAAACATCCAAATTCACTATTGCCTAGCTTTTCCTTTGGGGGAGTGGGGGCTGTGTGCTTCCAAGGACCAAAGACTTAGAACAGGCACCTGTGTTTTGGGGGAGCTCTTGAAACCCCGCCTTGCTGTCGCATCCAGAGGCTGCCCCCCACCCATCGCCAGCCAGATAAGCCCAACCATCTCCTTGCCTGCAGGTTCATGAACCACATGAAGCACCACGTCGAACTGGACCAGCAGAACGGAGAGGTGGACGTCCACACCATCTGTCAGCACTGCTACCGACAGTTCACCACGCCGTTCCAGCTCCAGTGTCACTTGGAGAACGTCCACAGTCCGTACGAATCCACCAGTAAGTTGGCCACCCCCAAAAGGGGCCTTAGCAGAGGGAAGCAGAGGATCCTCTTTTAAAGAAAAGAGAGAGATTTCGCCTCTTGACGCTTTTCCTGTATGACCCCAAAGGGGGCTGCCTGTCACTTTGCATGATTTAGAGAGAAAGGCTAAGCGGGAGAGACGAAAGTGCCAGGCTCCACTGAGGCAGGTTTCACACCATGGAGAGCCTCGCCAGCCTCGATTTGGCCACGTCTGCATGGAGGCAGTTTTGACCCGTTCCCTCTTGTTTACAGCCAAGTGCAAGATCTGCGAATGGGCTTTTGAGAGCGAGCCCATGTTCCTGCAGCACATGAAGGACACCCACAAGCCCGGGGAGATGCCCTACGTCTGCCAGGTACTGCCAATGCTTCCGGGTGTGTGTGTGAGTTTGTGTGCAGCAGGCGGAGCTTTGCTCTGCTCCAGCTTTGGCACTTCTCCTGATTCTGGACAAATCTTAACCAGAACAAATTTAAAAGGAAAACAAAGCTTGGGAGGAGGATCCCAAAAACCTCCTTGCCTGACCGGCCCTAGAAAGACAGGTGGCTCCCCTCTGGGAAAGGCACCTCTGACCCCTTTTAACAAGAATGGTTTCCCCCACCCCCCAGGTTTGCCAGTATCGTTCGTCGCTCTACTCCGAAGTGGACACCCATTTCCGGATGGTGCATGAGGACACGCGTCACCTCCTTTGTCCATATTGCCTCAAGGTCTTCAAAAACGGCACGGCCTTCCAGCAGCATTTCATGAGGCACCAGGTGAGCCCCCTACCCCTTCCTTCACCAACACCGGGACCTTCTGTCTTGGGTGGGGGGGAAGAGAAGGGCCCATCCTTCTTCAGAAAAATCAGTGCTGGGTCTCCCCCTCCTCCCTCGCAGAAAAAGAGCGTCTACCACTGCAACAAATGCCGCCTGCAGTTCCTCTTTGCCAAGGACAAGATCGAACATAAGCTACAGCACCACAAAACGTTCCGTAAACCCAAGCAGCTGGAAGGGCTGAAGCCGGGCACCAAGGTACAGAGCGGCCCAGGGGGTGGGCTGGTGGAGAAGCCTTCTCTCTCTCTCCATCTCTCTCTCTCTCCCTCCCTCCCTCCCTCCCTCCCTCCATCTCTCTCTCTCTCTCATGTGATTTATTCTTACTGTCTCCCTTTGGGCCGCAGGTGACCATCAGGGCCTCCCGAGGTCAGCCGCGGACGTTGCCCCTCTGCGCGAACGACATGCCGCCGGGCCTCCTCCAGGACACGGCCTTGCTCTCGGCGTCTCCGGATCCCCAGCCGAACTTCTCGTACCCGCCCTTCCAGAGGAGCATCCAGAAGAAGGCTGTCCGGAAAATGTCAGAGCTTCTTAACAAGTTTCAAACTCACCTTAAGAGAGTTGCCGGCCACTGGTTGCTCCTCCCTCTGGGCTGATCGGAAAGCTTTCCCAGGGGGTGGCGTGGAGGCTCAGCCAGAGAATGGGGCAGGTTCAGCACAGGCCGTCCTCGACTTACAACACTTCATTTAGGGACTGTACAAAGTTACAACAGTGCTGAAAAAAGGGACTTTTTCACACCTGCGACCATTGCAGCATGACCATGGTCAACTGATGTATATTCAGGTGCTTGACAACTGACTCACAATGATTGTCAAGCATCCCGGGGTCACATGATCCCCTTTTGTGACCTCGCCAGATTCGCTTAACCACCATCTTACTAACTAAACAACTGCAGTGTTTCGCTTAGCAAATGTGACAAGAAAAGTCGTAAAATGGGGCAAAACTCACTTGACCAGTTTATGTTGCTTAGCAACATAAATTTTGGGATCAATTGTGGTTGTAAGTCGAGGAGGACTACCTGTACACTGCCTTCATCTTTGGGTGGAGCTGAGAGGAAGCTCCCTGAATCCCGGCTGCCATGCCGTTCCCTTGTTGGAGGTCCTCCGTGTCCCTTGGCCGTGTTTTCAGTGCTCTGGAAACACACGGAAGACTTCCCTCTCTGCACCGGGTAATATTTCATGCCCCACTTGGCTGTCGCTTTGTTGGGACGGACGGCATGCAGAGAGGCTCTAATTTGGCTCTCCCTCCCTCCCTCTCGGCAGGAGCGTCCTCGGCCGGCAGACCTGCCTAGAATGCAGCTTCGAAATCCCGGACTTCCCCAACCACTTCCCCACCTATGTCCACTGCTCGCTCTGCCGTTACAGCACCTGCTGCTCCCGTGCGTACGCCAACCACATGATCAAGTGAGTGTCACCGGGCGAGGCTGCCCGTCCACAGGGGCAGAGGGGCTCTGGGGTTGGAACGCAGCAGAGTTGTCACTTGGGGTGGGGGGAGATTCTTACGGGCTGCAGCCTGTTCAAAACCAGGCTGTGAGAGAGATGGGCAAGCGTGTGTGTGCGTGAAGCTCCATTCACGTGAGTGGAGGGTGCATGCACCCATCCCTCACACAAATGCAGCAGTGTGCACATGCGCACACCTGCCACCCCTGTGCCAGACCAGGCTGCCAAGCTGGAGAGGTTGGGGTCCTCTCTCCTGGCCTACCAAATTCTGTTTTTTTCCTGCCCCGCTAGTATCCCAAAGAGTTACTAAGAGCAGAAGGAAAAAGGCTCTTTGCTCTTGGGAGCCCCATCGATGTGGCTTCTTCTCCCTTTGTTGTAAGGGGAGGATTGGGGGGAGGGGGGGCTTCTCTTGATGTAACTCAGTGGTTGAAGCGTTGTTGGTTGTATAACGACTGCTGCATGCCTCTCTTTCCTTGCTCCGTCCCCTAGCAACCACGTTCCTCGCAAAAGTCCGAAATACTTGGCCTTGTTCAAAAACTACACTGCTTGGTAAGGCTCTGTCCCTCCGGCCCTGCCCCCCACCCCCCATCCTTTTGCTAGCCAGGTCTTCTCCCCTGGATCCCGTAGGCCTGGGGAGCGGAACGGGGCAGTCGTGAGGGTCCCAACTGCCTTTCCCAGGATGGCAACCCCATCCCGGTGTTTGAGGGGGGGGGGAGGGGGGGGAATTCTAGGCCGCAAACCTGACGCCGCCCCCTTTTGGGTTCCCTTGCCAGTGGGGTTCGGTTGGCCTGCTCCGCTTGCCTCTTTGCCACGTCGGAGGGTGACGCCATGGCTAAACACCTGGTCTTCAACCCATCCCACGAATTCAGCAATGTCATTCTACGAGGTAAGAAAGGGCCCAATCTGCTTTTCTTCTGCTCTGGGGGCTTTTCTTGCTTCAGCCGGGAGAGAGGGAGCCCGATGATACAGGTAGTCCTTAACTTACGATCGTTCAAAGTTACAACGGGGCTGAAAAAACAACAGCGGCCTTTCAAGCAGCAGAATCAACTGGGAAACCAGATTCGCTTAATTGACCGTGGGATTCCAGTAAGAACTGGAACAACCCCCCCCAAAAAAGTTGATAAAATTGGGCATTAATCACTTAACAATCATATCAATTAGCAACAAATGTTCAGGTTCCCCTTGTGGCCGTAAATTCAGGACTACCTATAATGACGCTCACAGAACCAAGCTGGAATGGGGAAGCTGCTCCCGCTCCCATTGACACCCCGTTGTCCAGCTTCTCCAACCGAAGAGAGGGCAGTCGGGCTGGAGGAAAGAACTTTGGCTCAGCCCTAAAGTTTTTTTTTTGAGGGGGGGAGGGAGCTTTTGCTGCCCCCACCTCCGCCTGTTTATGAGGGCGAATGTGATCCTTGCCGTAAGCTGAACCTCTCCTTTCTGCTTCCCACAGGTCCTGCTTGGAGTTCCCATACAAGGTAAACCGTTGTGCCTTTTCTATTCGGGTAGGTTGTGTCCTCCCCTTCCTCTGGGCGATGCCTCACCTTCTCCCTCTCTTCCTTCAGGCCTGCCCAGCCGCTCGAAGGAGGCACGCAACCCTCCGTCTCCACCGCCTCATCCAGCAAAACCACCACTGTGAATACGCCGCCTCCTCTGCCCGAGGAGGAGGAGGAGAAGGCCCAGGAAGCGCCGCCGGTGGTGCCCGAGCCAATGCCTGAGGCCAGCCGCTCTCCCGCTGCGGTCCAGGAGAACGAGGGCTCCACCATCTCAAACGTTGACAGCCGCGAAGAGGAACCCGAGCCCAAGGAGGCTCCTGAGCCCGTCAGCAAGAAGGAGCAGCTCTCCGTGAAGAAGCTCCGCGTTGTCCTCTTTGCCTTGTGCTGCAACACCGAACAGGCAGCGGAACATTTTAAGAATCCGCCTCGGCGGATCCGTCGCTGGCTGAGGCGCTTCCAGGCTTTCCAGGAGGAGAACGTGGCTTCTCTGTCGGAGGGCAAGTACCTAAGCTTGGACGCAGAGGAGAAGCTGGCCGAGTGGGTCCTCACGCAGCGCGAGCAGCAGCTGCCAGTCAATGAGGAGACTCTCTTACAGAAGGCCACCAAGATTGGCCGGTCCCTGGAGGGGGGCTTCAAGATCTCCTACGAGTGGGCCGTCCGGTTCATGCTGCGGCACCACCTCAGCACGCACAGCCGCCGGGCGGTGGCTCACCCGCTCCCCAAGGACGTGGCGGAGAACGCCAGCTGCTTCATCGAGTTCGTGCAGGGCCAGATCCACACCCAGGACCTGCCCCTCTCCATGATCGCGGCCATCGACGAGATCTCCCTCTTCCTGGACGCAGAGGTCCTCTGCAGCGATGACCGGAAGGAGAATGCCTTGCAGACGGTGGGCACTGGGGAGTCCTGGTGCGATGTGGTCTTGGCCATCTTGGCCGACGGGAGCATCCTGCCCACCGTGGTCTTCTACCGAGGACGCCTAGAGCAGCCCGCCAATGTGCCGGAGATGATCCTGCTGGAGGCGAAGGAGAACGGCTACAGCGATGATGAGATCGTGGACGTCTGGTCGTCCAAAGTCTGGCAGAAACACATCGAGCACCAAAACAGCAAAAGCATGCTAGTCCTGGACTGCCATCGGACGCACCTTTCCGAAAAGGTCCTCTCCATGCTGAGCTCGTCCAGCACCTTGCCGGCGGTGGTGCCGTCCGGCTGCAGCTCCAAAATCCAACCCTTGGACGTTTGCATCAAAAGAACGGTGAAAAACTTTGTGCACAAAAAGTGGAAAGAGCAGGCCAAGGAGATGGCGGACTCCTCCTGCGACTCGGACATCCTCCTGCAGCTCGTCCTGTGTTGGCTGGCCGAGGCCCTGGAGGTCATCAGCGACTGCCCCGAACTGGTGCAGCAGTCGTTCCTGGTGGCCAGCGTCCTGCCCGGCCCGGACGGCACGGCCAACACGCCCACCCGCAACGCCGACATGCAGGAGGAGCTGATCGCTTCGCTGGAGGAGCAGCTGAAACTCCACAACGAACTGCAGGACGAGGAGGGCGACCTGAACAACGAGGGGGGGAATCCGTCGGAGGAATCCGCTAACCCCGAGATCCTGCACCAGCTCTTTGAGGGGGAGAGCGAGACCGAATCCTTCTACGGCTTCGAGGACGCAGATCTGGAGCTGATGGAAGTGTGAACGCCGAAGGAGAAGGGGGGGGGGGGGAATGAGATTAATTCCTTCTCTTTTTTAAAAAATTCATTGTTGGAAGAGACCATTTTTTTCCTACTTCCCTGTGGATTTGTGGCTACAGGAGACGTGTAGGCGAAACACACACAAACTTTAACGATAGCCATGTATGCTGTTCCGATTCCTTCAAAAAGAAAAAAACCCCACTTTTCCCTCCTCCCCCCCTTTTCAAATCACTGTTGTGGCATTTCCTGAAGATATATATTGTGGGTGGATTTATTATTATTTGGTTTTCGTTTTGCATTTCCTTTACCTCACTGTATTATAGTTTCTGGGTTTTTATTTTGTTGGTTTTTTTTTTTATACTGTGCAAAACAAGTTTTTCGTTATACCACATCATCAATGTGACTTTATTTTTTATTTTTTTTTGGAGGGCAAGGAAAAGCGATCCGTAGCCAATGGAAGATTTCTCAAATCTCGCTCTTTCTGTTGGCCATAGCCGCTTATTTTTTTTAATTTTTTTTCCCTATAACAGTTGGACCCGGAAACGTAGAAATTCTGGGGTAATTTTTTTTCTTAAGCTACGAATAATTTACTTTGAACCTTCGAAAAACGTTCTAGAGCTGCCCACAAAAATAATTGGGAAGATTGCTTTATGGAAAGGAGACGAGAACAGCAATTAAATGCAGGCATTATTGTTTAGGAAGAGGCAAAACCTCCCTTCATGTTTTTGTACGAAACTTGGACGTGGACATTAAAAGTAAAGCAAAAATTCACTTGTAGGAAAAATAAAACACCCACCCAGATTTCTTAGCAGTCGATGCAAAACCTTTTCAAAGTTCCCGGTGGCGAAACGTTTATCCGAGTTGCTACCAAGAGAGCGCGGTGGGGGACAGTTCATACCCCACTGTGACCCCCTTTCTCCGGCGGCCGATCGCAAACGGATTCTCTTGAACGGATCCCCCGACATCGCCTTTTAAAAACTCTGCAAGCTACTGACGCCTTTCGCCGAGACACTACGTCCCCTGACCCACGTTCTGCAACTGAACCCCCAACTCTCGACGTGCACAAAAACGAGGGAAATTTCCTGTTTTATTTTACACTGCCAGCATAAAAAACAAAAAACAAAAACCAGAGACATTTAAAAAAAAGAGATGTTTTTTCTACTGTTTGCATGTTTGAGAGTTTTTTAAATTGTAACGTATTATGGTCTAAATGACAAAGAAAACATTTTGACACATAGAAAAAACAATCCGCCGTCTCATCCTGTACATCTTTTCTGTTTTTCCTTTGAGGTTGGGTGGGGGCGGAATTAAAATCTTCCCTCGTCTTTCCCCTTCCCTTCCCCAACTCCCCGAGGCCAAACTCAAGGGAAGCAGGAAATAGGGTGGTTTGACCTGTAAATGGTTCATCTTTAAAATGTACATATGTGGAACATTTAATAAAACCAGGGAAATGGATTTATAAACACGTGTTTTCATTCCAGAGAAAAATCTTCCAGAGAGGGGGGAAAAACGGGGTTTGAAATGCACTGGGGTCACAAATCGGACTTTTGAGAATTCATCCTGGTTTCATTTATTGAACAAAAGGTTGGTTTAAGACCAATGATCCCAGCCTCTAAAAACACCGGTGGGCTCTCAAGACCCTCGTGCCCACCTCTCAAAGTCCCACAAGGTAATGCTAGTTTCTTGTTGCCTCTTGTGGTTGTTAACTAAGTTTAGCTCCCTCTTGTGATTGTGAATTCATCCATCTGCAGGTGCAGTAGCAGAGAAGCTCCCCTCCTGCTCTGGAGCTGTGAAACCCAGGCAGATGGCAAGCAGGAAAGCCCCTGATCCACCCGATTGATAAGTACTCTGGGTATTATAACCCCCCTCCTCTTCATTTCCCCTTCAGATGAGGAAGACTCCCCATTCAAATCTATAAGATTTGAAAATACTGCCCTCTAGTGGTTCAGCAAGGTCACTGGATAGATAGACTCTTCCAAGTTGTCTCCTCCCTCTGGTGGTTTAGCATGGCCACTGCAGCTCCTATAGATTTTGCTTTTTGATAAAACAAGCACGGTGCTAATTAGTTTGGCAGGAGAGGGCATGTCTGAATAGCCCCCAGACCCTTCCATGCAGCAGCAGAGATCACAAACTACCTACACTAGAATCCACAGCGTACCTGGTGTTGCTGGGTAGAAAATCTTTCTAAAGATAACACCTCCAAAAAGTAGAAAATGCCTTTGTTGGTTTGGATCTCCAGCTGTGCTGGTGGGGGATTATGGGAGCAGAAGCCCAGCTGTTCTGGAAGGTTGAAGGATGATAGGATCATAGAAACGGGGAACCCCTAAGTGTCTTTTTTTTAAAAAAAACCCTCTTGAAACTGAAAATTTCTGACGCAGAAGAGTAGTTGTACAAGAGTCAAGCATCTTTATTAAAGAATGGCTCCTGCAGGAGCCTCAAACAGTATAACAAAGGATTTGGGGTTCTGTCTTCCAGCAAATAGAAAAACTCCGTTTTCTGTTTCATTCAAAACCACTGCAAGGGGGGAGAGAGAAAAAAAAAAGATAAAAGCCCAGCCAAATTAACAGGCAAACATCACAGCAGTCTTGAAAATAAATTGTTCCTGAAATCCAGGTTAGGGAGGAAGGGAAAGCGTCCACCACCAGAGTTGTGAGAACAAGACCAGGAAGGCCACCTCACCTGACGAGGTGAGCAATCTCCCAGTTGGTCTCCAAGGACAGGGGTCCTTCCACCTCCACGCCTTTCTCGGTGACGGTGGTGATCTCGTACTGAGGAGGGAGGGCAGAGGGTTAGGGTCTTCCTTGGCCTCTTCTTGACATGTCCACCTTCAAAGGTAGGCCCCAGCATGCCAGCTGGGCAGGGGGGAGGGGGACACCCAAATGCCCCTCTCTTACCCGGTTGAACGAGCGGGCATCCCGATAGTAGAGGATCTTCATACACCGTTCAATGAGAGCTCTGGCCGCCTGCTGGGAGAGGCTGGGTGTCTTCTCCAGCGCCTCTCTCATTAATGGCTGCGACGGGGCGAAAGAAACTCTGTTCAATTACACAGCCACACCCTGCCAGATTCAAACTGGGCCCCGTGACTCGAACCCGTCTCTGGCTTGCTGAATAAGCCACAACTCGGCACACAACGCTTGGAAAAACGAGGCCGGCTGAAATCGGCAAGACGGGGCACTGATCCCGAGATAAGCCATGATGGCTTAGCCCGAAACCGGGGAGCCCAATTCATAACCCAGGATCCCTACCTCAGTGGATCCAAAAGCATGCCAGTGAATTTACTTCCTGCCCACCTGTGCCACGTAAGACCCGTATCCGGTCGCCAATGAAGAAGCTTCGTACGCCACTCCCAGCATGTCGACGTAGCCTAAGAAGCTGAGAGGGGAAGAGGTTGAGGGGGCTACAGCAGCCGAAGCCCCTCCGCCATCAACATCCCCCCTCATTGGGGAGGAGGAGACAAAAACTGAATTATAGGCGGTTTGTTTAGGAGTTAAATTTATACGTTGCTCATCTCACTATCGGACGACAGTTGGTGAACGCAACATTGCTACTGGTAGTAGCCCTCAACTTATGACCACAACTGAGCCCAAAACTGTTGCTCGTGGGGGAAACGGGACGGACCACTCTCAAGCTTTTCCCTCCCCGCGTTCCCGGCCTTACCCTTCCCCCTGGGAATAGCCGCCGATGACCACTGTGTTCCAGAGGGGATTCATCTTGGACCGGTGGTTGTACATGACCCGCGTCAGCCAGGAGTGAATGGCCTTTGGGCTGTAACTGTGCCCGTCGCCCAGAAGGTCCTCGTCAATCCTGCGAGACAACAAGAGGCCCAGCTGAGACGCTGCTCTCTTAAAGCCACCAACTGACACCCCCCCCACCAGCCCCTCTCACCGTCCAGGCTCCTTTGCGAAGGCCAGGGGTCCGAGCATCGCCCAAGGGGGAGATTGCCCAAGCCCTATGGAAAGGGTCAACGGGTCTCCCAACTTCTCAGCCCCAAGAAGGGCTCAAGGCCATCAAGCCAGCTTAAAGACCCAAGTATTTCTATTTACAGGATTGATGTAGGAAGCGTGCAATTGTAATGTTGATTTCGGGGTCCCACTTGGAAGTTCTCCAGAAGTTTAAACCTTCACACTGATTTAAAATCGGAAAGGCTCATCGGGGCCCCCTTAACAGCAAATCAAAGCTGGTTTGTGTTGCTTCTTTTAGGTCGGGGTCTCCGAAGTTGGCCACTTTAAGACTTGTGGAACTCAACTCCCAGAATTCTGGGAGTTGAAGTCCACAAGTCTTAAAGGGGCCAAAGTTGGGAGACCCTGTTTTAGTTCCTCCTCCTCGCATGGTTTTCAAGGCCAATTCAGGGGGTTGAAGGAGCCAGCCAGGATCCCCGAACGCCCGCTGTGGGTCGCCTGGCCACTTACACCATCTGCTCCAGGACTTGCTTGAGGTACTGGAAGTCGGCGTAGTCCCCCGAGGCGCCCAGGACGGTGCTGTCGTTGACCTTCATGATCCGGGAGAGATTGCGGAATCGGGCCAACGAGCCGTAGGAGCCCAGCGTGTCGGCGGCGATCATCACCCCTCCCTCGAACTTCAGGCCCAGGACGGAGGTGCCCGTCACCATGGGGCTCCTGGATGGGATGGGGTGGGGAATGGGAAGAGGGGTAGATAAGTAAGCGGGTGGGTAGATGGATGGATGGATGGGTAGGTAGAGAAGATAGGTAAAAAAAAAAGGATAGAGATATAGATGGATGGATGAATGGAGATAGATATCAGAGATAAATGGATGGATGGATGGAGATAGATTGATGATAGATTGATGATAGATAGATGAGATAGATAGATGATAGAGAGGTGGGATAGATAAGATAGAAACAGACAATAAAGGTGGGATAGATAGACGGATGGACGGACAGAGAGAGATAAGATGGATGGATGAATAGATAGAGAAGGAAGGAAGGGAAAGGAGGAGTGTGTTGCCAATTCCTACAAGGGGCTCTGGAGATCTGGATGACCCTTCCCTGCATGGCGGGAAGATCCTGCTTCCCCCCACCCACAATTGCTGATCCCGAAGACGTGGGATTCCCCCCACCAAATCTCTCAACCCCCCTCCCCACAAACCCTGCAGTCCCATTCACGGGGCTGCTCCTTTGCAATAATGTCTGCGGTCGAGCTTCCCTAGCTAGGGGCCGTCTACCTTTAGGACTCAGGCCCTAGGATATGTATGTGTGTGGGGGGGCTCTTTAATTAAGAGCTGGAGGGGGGGGGCAGTTACAGATCCAACAAGGGAAAGTCCTCCTTCCACCCCAAAACCTGAGCCCCCAGATGAGCGTTGGGACTACAACTCCCATCCCATCTATGGAGGAAACTTCTAGCCCAGCACAGAGGCAGACCCTGATTTGCAGCCCTCCCCGTGAGGAGGGGGTTCCCTTTCCCCCCCCCCCCCCCCCCTGGCGGCCCCCCCCCCCGGGGGGAGGGGCCCCCCCCCCCCCCCCCCCCCCCCCCCCCCCCCCAGCCTTACAGAGTCCTCTTGGAGGCCTCCTCGCTTTGGGCCCGGGAGTCCTGGGTCGGGCTGCCCAGTGGGAAGAGCCTCCCCGGGGCGGGACCCCCGGCCCAGAGCAGCGAAGGCAGCGGCAGCGTCGCGGGCGCCTCCATCTTTCCTTTCCCCGAACGGCCGCAGCTTAGTCACGGAGCAGGAAGAGGCGGCGCCACGGAGCATGCGCGGCAGCAAGCGAAGCGCCTCTCAATTGTCCGCGGCGGCGCTCCGTAGGCTGGCAAATGAGGCGCCGCCGCCGCCGCCATGTTGGGTATGGCGGATACGAGACAAAAGCGCCTCACATTTTACTTGGGTGGGAGGGGGGTTTTCTTGGGGAATGAAAGAGGACAGAAACGGGGAAGCCGAGAATTCCCATTATGAATTATTTTCGGGGGGGGGGGTTGGTGGCGGTCGGGAAGGAGGAAGTTGTCCGGGAGGAGGGCGCCATTTTGAGCGTGGCGCCGCCGACGCTGGAAGAAGCACTTCCGGGGCAGGGCGCGCGTGCGCGGTGGGGGAGGGGGGCGGCGGAGAACTTCACGCAGCCAGGGTGGGAGCTGCCCGTTTCCAGGAAGGCGGATGGTTTTTTGCAAATTGGTTTCTTGCAAGAATGAAGTGTGTGCAACAATGCAGTGTGCTGGTGCATCCCTTACATTTGCATGCAGGGTCCTTGCAAGTGAGCAATAGCAACAATGGGGGGCAAGGAGCACCTGGGGACCCCCCCCCCCAGGTTGGCTTTAGGCGCTGCAAACTAGCATGGGACTAGCACAGCAATAAAGTCCCTCTTCTCTTATCTGCTTTGGAGGAGAGAGAGAGAGAGCAGCTGGGAAAGGCCAGATTTCAGGCCTGGGATTGATACATTTATCATTATGATTTATTTGCAAAGATACAAAAACTCCCTTTGGGGCTTCAGATACAAGGACATTGTGGAATGAGGCTCTCCTGCCAAAGGGGAATATACTGCTAACAGAGCCGGAAGGGACCTTGGAGGTCATCTAGTCCAAACCACCCCCGCCCCACCCACCCACCCACCCAAGCATGAGACCCTTACAGAATGACAGAAACACAGTTGGAAGGGACCTTGGGGATCATCGAGTGCAAGCCCCCGCTCAACCAGGAGACCCAGTGATGGGGTTCAAGTAATTTAACAACCGGTTCTCTGCCCTAATGATTTCTTCCAACAACCAGTTTGCCAAACTACTCGGAAAGTTAACAACCGGTTCTCCCGAAGTGGTGCAAACTGGCTGAATCCCACCACTGAGGAGACCCTACACCATTTCTGACAGATGGCAGTCTAGTCAATAGAATTGAATTGAATTGAATTGAATTGAATTGATTTTTTTATTGGCCACGTGCGATTGGACCCACAAGGAATTTATCTTGGTGCATACGCTCTCCGTGTACATAAAAGAAAAGATACATTCATCAAGAATCATAAGGTACTACACTTAATGATAGTCATCGGGTACAAAGCTTCTTGAAAGCTTCCAGTGATGAAGGTCCCACAACGTCCGAAGGCAACTTCTGTTCCATCGGTTGATTGTTCTCACTGTCAGAAAATTCCTCCTTATTTCCAGGTTGACACTCTCCTTGATCAGTTTCCGTCCATTTATTCCTTGGCAGGAACGTTGAGTTGCTGGTAGTCAGCTCGTGTGGGAGAAGGGCGAGAGGAACAAATACAATAACGAAATAGTTTTAAAACCTATTTGGGTCATGGGCAACGTTTGTGGATGACTCTTTGATGGGACCTAACCCTCTCGGAATGCTGCAGAATTAACATTTTTATCAACTGGAAATGGAATATAGCGAATGACGCAAGAGTTGTGGCTTTCTCCATCTTTTCAAGATCACGAGAAGTGTGAGAATAAGCAACATCCAACTATTGGCAAATAAGCCCCAGATTGTGTGGGCAGAGGGAGATGGGAAAGTGGCACCACTTTTGCTGACCCACTCAGTCATTTTTTTGTTGCTTTTCTGCTTTGCTTGGGAAGAAGAAAACCCTTTGCAACATTGCCAACCTCATTCCAGATGCTTCCACTTCAGAGCAGCAGCCGGAAACCAAAATATGACCTTGGCTCGCTTGTTGCTTGTTCGCATTCCTGCTCCCTCTCCAGGCTGCTGAGCTCCTTCATCTTTCATTGAAAAACCAGCCCTTCGGCCCTCCGAAGCCCAGTCTTTGCATGTGGTTTTTTTCCACTGCTTTTCACCAGCAGAAAAGAAAGTGTCAGCCTGCTGATCTGATTCGACCTAACAAGCTCTAGATCGCCCAGCACAGAACATAATTGGGGTGACCCGTGTGGGAGAGTGACGTGCCACCCTGAATCCCTTGGGGGGGGAAGGGGAAGAAGGGGAGCAGGATTTTATTCGGGCTGCTCTCAAACGGCTGTTCCGAGATGCTGTTCCACCCGAGAAGACATTTCTGGGTGCCCGTTGCAGCAGCTCCTAAGAGTTGCTTTGACCTTTAAAAGCTCTGTGTACAAAGTGGGATTTAAAACAGAAAAAAAAAGGGGTTAGAGACAGCTATGTTCAATGACAAACTAGATCGCATTTTGCAAACGTGCAGTAAATAAACACCTTTGCAACATGCAGAAAGTATGCATTTGCAAAAATGCAGCAAAATAAATATTGGCAAAAAGATAGCAACAGAAACCCTGTGCGTGAAACTTAAGATGCCCCCCCTTCCCCTGATTTGTAATCGGGATGTACTGAGCCAGCTATGGGGGGAGAGCTAACCTTCTCCAATTGCTTTCTGTCCTCTGCAGAAGTTGGAAGACTTCAATGCCAGCCTTTGTCCTGGGTGGATAAGAGATCGGAAAGAAACTGGAGTTTCCTCTTAGAACTGGCATTGTTCTGCAAAGCCGCTGAACTCACAATGGATTCAGGATCTATGCCGCCTTTGTTTCACTTCCCTTACCAAAACTAACAAAAGGTAGGAAGATGCTTTTTTCCTCCAACCCTGAATGAATCCAATTGGAGGTGCCTCCACATCCATCAATCATATACCATCAAGTCACTGTCAACATTGACTAGTTAGACAGACAGACAAAAAGGTACTATTAAGGATCCTCCACTCATGTTTTTCCTCTTACTTGACTTGGAAAACAAATGTAGAAAAAGCAGATAAATCAAATCTCCCACCAAAAACAGTGGGAGAAGCCATCTTTAAGAAGTACATATGACAAAGCCAAACCCTTTTATTTATTTATTTATTTATATTAAATTTATATGTCACCCTCCAGTGGCTCTGCTGGCAGCATGTTCTATTTTCTTCTCCTTGGCAAAGAGAGGTGCTTATGGTGAGAAGTGGGGCACGGGGCTCTCCTTGAGGGATACAATTCTTATCAGAGCTGGAAGCAAGTCCGGTTGTAGTCCAGTGGTTGCTCACTTACTGGGAGCACTGGGCAGTGTCAAACTCCAGAAAAGCCAGGGAAATGGGAGGAAACGGAAGAAATCGAAATATTGTTCATGCTTTCTTACCCGGAGGGGGAAATGGGTGGGGTTGGTTTTGCCTCCAGCTGGGGAATTCTGGGAGTTAAAAGTCGTACCACTCTATAAAGAGTTGCCAAGGTGAAAAGATGTGCTCTAGGCTGTGGACAGTGCTGAGTGGACCATGCACCAGTTGGGCACCATGGATCATGCTGGACTGTGGAAGATGAGCACCATGGACCATGCTGGACCGTGCGCCAGTTGCGCACCGGAGTTGCTGTGCATCCTACTGTTGGCAGCTCCCATCTCTGTAGAGCTAGGAGGATGGAAGCCAGAGTCCCAACTACAGACAGTACAGCTGGGGAGAATGGGACTTGGGATCCCACACAGGATGGAAGCGGAGCCTGACCCTCCGGAAGGGGTGTGGGTGTGTTTGTGTGTTTTGGGGGTCTTTTCTCCACTTTCAATCCCTGCAATGAAGGGGCCGCTTTCCTGCAGCATCTCCCGGGCCCCGTTGCTAGGGAGGCGGCGGCGGCGGCGGCGGCCTCCTCTCCCGGTTGCTAGGGCTCCGGGCCCCGCCCGTCCGGAAGAGAAGCGAAGGCAAGGCTGCGGGGCGTGGCGGAGCGGGAGAGGGGCGTGGCTCGGCGCCGCGGGCTGCGCCAATGGGGAGCGGCGGGGGCGTGGCCGAGGCGCGAGCTCAGGTAACAGGTTGCGCCCGTTCGGGGCGGCGGCCAGAAGCGGAGCGGAGCCAGAGGCGGCGGGTGGGCGAGGAAGCCGGGCGGGTAAGAGGAGGAGGAGGCGGTGGGTGGGTGGGTTTCCCTTCCCTTCCCTTCTCCCCTTCCCCTTCTCCTCCTTCCCCCGGGCTCTGCTGCCTTCCTGGGCTTCCTCCGCCGTCCCGGATAGCGACGGCCGCCCCTTTGAGTGTCCTGCGGGGGGGACGGGCGGACAGGAGAGAGTCCCCCCTCCCTATTGCCCCCCCTCCTCCCCGGGCATCCTCTCTGCAGCGCTGCCCGCTCTTTGCATGCCCTCCCTCCCTCCAGGACTACACCGCCCATTACCCCCGGCCGCACCTTCGGGGCTGCTTCCAGCTGAGCCGGACTGCAGCTCCCATGGTCCGCGCCCGGCAGCCAGGCAGAGAATCCCCCCCCTCCAGCCATCTATCCTCCGAGGAGGGGAGACCCACGCCCTTTCCTTCCTCCATCCCCTCGGGCTGGGGTCGCTTGGCCGGACGCCCCCTCCCCTCCTCTCCCCTCCGGCCGCCGCGCCCCCTCCCCTCCCGCGGGAGCCACGTTGCCTTTGCGAAGGACGAGGAGGCTGGAGGTGGAGGAGCCGCCGCTGAACCTCCCGGGACCCCCTCTGCCCGTTTGGCCCAGCTGGCCCCTCCGCTCCGCCCCGCTTCCCTCGCCTCGAGTCGGCAAGCAGGGCAAAGAAAGGCGGGTAGGACGGGGGCTTCCCAGTCCCACTCCCCCCTTTTGACTGGGTGGGTAAGGGGTCCGAGCTGGCCAGCCCCAGGGAGGGTCCCGGAAAGGCAGGTGGGGGCTTTGGGATCTGTGACCTGCCCAGGAAACGGCCCCACCTTTGCTCAGGGGAGTGAACTCATCTGAATTGAGTGGGATGGGCTTTGGAGTAGTACTCGGGAGGGAGGGAGGAAGATTGTAGGGGGAAGGAAGGAAGATTGTATTGTAGGGGGAAGGAAGGAAAAAGGCAGAAAGAAGGGAAAAGGGAAGGAGGGAATGAAAGAAGGAAGAGAAAAAGAAGGGAAGGAGGATGGAAAGAGAAAAAAGGAAGGAAGGAGGGAATGAAAGAAGGAAGAGAAAAAGAAGGGAAGGAGGATGGAAGAGAAAAAAGGAAGGAAGGAAGGAAGGAAAAAGGCAGAAAGAAGGGAAAAGGGAAAGAGGGAATGAAAGAAGGAAGAGAAAAAGAAGGGAAGGAGGATGGAAAGAGAAAAAAGGAAGGAAGGAAAGATCCATAGTCTTGGCAGGGTCTTAAAAGATTCCCCCAACCCTTGCAGACAGCTTGGATTTCAACCCCCACCATCCCCAGCCAGCCCCCTTCTGAAGTCTCTTTTTCTCTCTCTCTTAAGCCCACCCTTCTGTACCCCAACACACCCAGAGGGGCCTAAATCCTTTAATCCCCGACGGATGCTCTGCTGTTTCTAACCCGATTGTCAGAATCTGCAGCCTTTTAAATACCTTTCTGGGCTTCCCTTCCCCTCCTCCAACCTTTCTGTTCAGCTTCTGGTTTCCTTTTACACCTACAAGGTCAGCCTGGATTGAAACTGGAGTAAAGGGAAAAAACCGCCAATTTCCCTCTGCTTTTGTGCCTGTGTGGTTGTGGTCTCCCGCTGTGACGGGGGCTTAATTGACCCTCCCTGCAAACAGACTTGATTGTTGTCAAATCCTGTTTGCAGACAGGAGAGAGAGACACAAGCACTTAATCATTTCCTGAAGTGGCTGATAAAAAAAAAATTGGCTTGTCAAAGGTCAATGATCACCAACATCCAGGCAGGGTGACTGATACAGAAAGTCCTCGATTTACGGCCGTAATTCCGTTGTTAAGCAAAGCAGTTGTTAAGCGAGTCCTCCTCGATTTTACAACCTTGTACTTATTGGAAAGCCCGGGAGGATGCACCTATGAGAAATACATGCTGGCTGCTTAAACACCCGAATCACAATCGCGTAACAGTGAGGAGGCTGTGACGGCCGTAAGTGTGAGGAATGGGCCATAAATCCCTTTTTGCAGCACTGCTGTAACTTTGAACAGTCGCTAACCGAATGGGCATAAGAGCAGGACTGCCTGTATTGATTTTGCTCCGCCCTGGAGGGTGGGGGGCTTTGTGGGGGAGAGAGTGGACTCCCCGGGGCCCAGATTTTGAACCAGATGCTTAATTTCCCCCTGGAACTGAAACATTCATCGCTCTTTCCCAATCCTGCATTTCTGAGTCGCCGGCCTTATGGACAGGGAACTAATCTGCGCTCTGCACTTGCTCAGGAGTCCTCTTGTTTATTTTGCCTCCGCTGTGGCCATAAACGAAGCCTTGGATTTTCTGCGGCCTCTTTAAAAAGTGTCACCTGAGGAACCTGGGCTCGTTTGGCGCACTGTCGCCTGCGCCAGCGACCGCCCACCAGCACCCTTGACACGACCGGTTGTCGGAAGGGTGAATAATGGCCCAGTGAGGGCTGTGGCCACCCGGCTGGCCCTACCAGTTAAGGGCAGGGATGCTGTGGTTCCTTCTGGGTGACACCTGCGTCAAGGTGATGGCGTTGAAAGCTCTTATTTCCGCCCTCCGCTTGAACAAGCCAGCTTCCTTTCTCTTAATGTCGGTTTATTCCTGAACCAAAAAAAGACTTGTCAAAGTTTTAAAACTTTTTTACATCTCTGCTTCAGGAAAAGGGACGAGCGGCTGCAATTCTCGCTGGGTAGATTTTCTTTGAAGGATTATTATTATTATTATTTTCTCCTTTGATAATCCAAAAACAATTTGCTTCCCTTTTGCTTCGGGCCCCTTGAAGTTGGTGCCGCTCCCTGCCTGGTGCTAATTAGGTTTCCCTCTCTCCCCCACCCCTCCCAGACCCCCAACTTATCTAGGTGGGATTTCTAGAGATTAAATCTGGTCGGGGAATGCGATTTTTCCAGAGGTTGGGTGACCTCTGATCCCAAACCAGCAGAGCCGGGGGTGAGAGACGCCAGAACTGGAATGCGAGATAACCTGGAAAAGACGCAGCCTTCCCACGCTTTTCTGGGAACATTTGGGCTGGTGTGTGTGCATGTGCCACATTCCTGGTGCTTTGGGCTATGGGTCCGGAGAGGTCATCTAGTTCAACCCTAGTTCTGGGTTAAAGTAAATGTATTGTTTATTGTTTTACTGATTATTGTTTTGTTATTGTTTTGTTGTTATGACTAAAGCATTTTAAAAACAGACTGCCCTTATTCTTAGCGGGTAGAAATAAATATCTGGGAGAATTCCCACTGAATCCAGCCAGGACAGGATTAGAACAGGGGGTTTGATCGTGGTACCTGTTGTTATAAAAACAGAACAAAAAAAATCAAGAATTAATTCTGATTTGCTGGGATAATCGTGGCGAGATAGGAACCAATATTCCTCCTAAACCAACTCTGTTTGTTTGCGTGGCTCTCTCTTGTGAATATAGACTGATTTCTATTGATTCTTTCCCCCCTTTCCTTACCCCCCCCCTCTGGCCCTGTTTCTCGTTTTTTTTTTTTCTCTCAGAAAGTTTTTTGTGTCTGTTGGAAAACACGCTTTAAAAACCTATCCAGCCGCCCGGGCGCTGAAAAGTCCCTGCCAGCTTTTGATTCCTGGTTTTCACGTTGGAACAGCGTGTGACCGCAATAAAGCACTGAAAAAATGTTTTCATTAGAGTACGCTGGCCTCAAAATAACCCCACGTACACACAAGGGAAACGTGGAAGAAAACAGCAGCAGGTTTTACCTCTGTAGAACGACGGGCAGGTGGATTTTTGGGGGAAGGAAACGGCAGAAAAA